TCACTCTTCCATGGAAAATTAGACCCGAATCATTGATTTAGGAATACATATGTATATTGCACTAACTGAATTGCACTAACTGAATCTATCAACAAACTGCAACTCTCTAATCCACAGACAAATAGAAGCCGAGCACGGAGCTTGGGTCGAGAAATTTGGGAGGTTGTACTCCATATACTCCCTACTCAGCCACACGAGGAAATGAGCAAAAGCTAACATGGATACATAGATTAAGATCCGCCGGTGGATACACAGTGGATATAGCAATACATAGGAGTCCCGACAACTCCCTCCAGGTTTCCATGGCTCCATTTGTAGAATATCAATTATATCAACTCGCCTTTTTACAACATATGCAGATCTCGGGAGTTATCTGCCGTTTGGCCTATGCTTCTGCTTGATATACGTACTCCGTACGCGCGCAAAATTGGTTTTTCTTTGCGGGTCGAGACGGCTGAGGAGGAAAGATGATGAATTGGTCTGAAGGTTTGCTGCCGTGTGGGGTGTTGTCAATTTTAGGCCCTGATAATGCTGCATTCCCTGTGTACATCCGTTGGGAAGTATCCAACATGTCTATTTTAAACAGATCGCCCTTGTTTGATGCCTTTTAAGTATAATCTCACTCGGGATACCAAATAGAGACTGGCGCAATACAATACTGTGTTCGGGGGTACGGAGTACTGTGTTCGGGAGTACGGAGTATGTTGGAAAGAACTCGACTGCTCGGCGATCTCTCGGGTACATCCTGAATCTTCCATATACATTTCGTGCTCAGCATCAATAGCTTATTTAGTGCATTTTCGAAAGGATTGATCTACATCAAATATACGGAGTATGCTTGCTGCATCCGAGACCATTTCCAGAGGCAGTTAATGTATAGAAATAGGTAGTACATGCAGTACGGAGTAGGTTATAAATCATATGCACGGGAATCCTTCCGGTCTCGATTTTAAAGTGGACGGGCTCGGCCACATCTCGGTGAAGGTTCAAACGGTTCTCCATTGGACAGAGTGGATGATGATCATAATGGATACTATCCTTCTCTATCGCTGTCACACAGACTACTAGCAAGGATGTCAGGAGGACCAAAAGCTTCAAATAAGCGTAATCGCTTGGCACATAAGCTATGCGGTATTTATGTGATAGTTCCATCTCAAACGATATATTGGTAAATTCCCTCGATTTTTAAGAGCATTGTCCTAAATAGCTGTAGATTCTTTTTTTTTTTTTTTTTTTTTTCCATCTGACTCGTAATATCAGGGACTATTCCAATAGCAATATAACCGAATAGCCGAGAACTGGTTCTATACAAGCGCACCAATCCCTTTTCCCATCCAAACACAAAGTTCGAAATCAAGGGTCCAGTCCATATGGCTACACATCCTACGCTGCAGATATGGCCTATTACAGTATTTGATAGGTGAATTATGCACCCAAGACTTTTGACGTATGAATTAGCAATAAGCCTAGCCCAGTTACATATTTAATTTGACCATCTGGACGAATAATATTCCTCCAGTGAGGTCCAATAGAGTTTTGAATCTGAGCTACCACATGTCAAATAGGAAGTCTCCCGATGATTGGAGAACTTTGAATCTGACAGCTGTGAGCTTCCGCCTGAAGATGTTTTCCATTCCACTACGCATGTTGTTATTTTGTCCAAGATTTTCCCAATGAATAGTTATGCTTTTCTCCAGCTGTTTCTTCCAGCGAAAAAAAAAAAAAAAAAAAAAAGGAAATTATATTAGGCAAAAGTGCGAAATATTCCCGCTTTAATCTCTCAAAATGTCCACGTATCCACCCGATCCCTGTTCCATCTTGTACTTTTACGGGAATCTCCGAATAGAAGCTAAAAAGAACTGGTTCGGCCTGGTCCCAGTAAGGCAATTTCTAGAAGCGGAACCCAAATTTGGCGTTTTCTTCCAAAAGTGTTTCCCCGTTCCCTTCCAATAGTTCATCTCAACGCTATTTTTGTCGCTTTAAGAGGAAGGTGACTGGATGGGCTAGTGGAAAAATCACCCCAACAGATGCCACCCAGCATAACCGAAAGATCGGCAATCGTCAAATATACCAAAACACATGGGCTGGGTCCCCGCAGATCCATGTGCCAGTTCGAAAGGGAACTGACATGAAAACGGCGGTCCACGGCTGATCTGGCAGATTCTGACAGGTTCGACAGGGTCTAGTAGGGTCTAGTAGGGTCTTCACGGTGGGGAGAGGTGGACCAAAGGAAATAGGAATCCACCCCTCCAGGGTTTTTCCTATGAACGTCGTAATTTTATCCTTTTATCCTGGGTACCGAGTACGGGGTACTACTTCCATATCTTGAAGAGGAGGTCTTTGACTCTCAGGCCTGTACCTAGTCCCAATGCAGTCAAGGTGTCGGGGATCTGGACAGTCTAGCTAGTTAGTGTATTTTATGCACTTACTCCAGTTTCCATTTTTAGTGCGACTCGGGATTTGCAATACGATTTTATAGGAGTCAATCATACATAGTGATTTCCATGCTTAACTCCGATCTCTGTCCTTGTTTTGTAAAGTGGTAAATCTTTACACGTAAACCTCCCAAATCTGTGAGAAGATGACTGATCCACAGAGAAAACGTCAACCATGTGCCACTGAGGTCTCGAACCAATCAAACTCGTCCCCTGCTGGCCCCTCCACTGCTCGGGCTTGGCTTTCGGGTCTGTGTTGTACGGAGTACTGGTTTATATAAGCTGCACACAGAAAACAGTCCAGACTTCATACTCTGTACCTTTTCTACCTCGGATCTTATATGGCCAATGATAGGAGCCCTGGCCTTGAATACAACGCCCTAGGATTGACCGGCATGGAATCCCGTCTCTTTGGGCTAGGTGCATACGGTAATGCAATGCAGCTTGCCGGATGGAGTACATTGCAGCGGGATGTTTCGTGGTCGAAACTTAATCATTGGATGAGACTATCTTGTGTGGAATGCGGAGTACAGTGTGCATAGAGGTGATGGGTATCGTGTCATATACCCTAAGTCATGTTTTATGCGAAAGCTTCAATGTTTATTAAACCTATGTATTGTGCTTGGTTCTATGAGTATGGGGGGTAATTTATAGTATGATTTCATCCAAAAGGAAATAAAGAGAGATTTGAATTTGGCATTATTCACTCTGGTGTTTGTGCTTTGCCCTATGCGTGAGATTTATGGGATTCTATGCGGGATTATATATTATTTGATGTATTACTGCTTTTTTCAACAAAGCACCAATATTGTTAGTTTCAAAGTAAATTCTACATAAAAATCTAGCATTTTTCCTTACCAAATATCATTATAAATTTTTTTTTCCATTTTATCTACAAGTCTTCAGATATAACATAACATAAAAGTCTTCATCTCTAAACTCCAACATATGGGATAATCATGTGACTGTACCTCACCAAATGGTCCGTGCACCGAGCTTGGCCTTTCCCCACTTGAGCTTCCAGTCCAATCCATCTTTAGTAACTACCATTCCTCTTTCAATTTTCTCTTGGACCAGCCTCACTCACCTGGATTTTTCTACATTATGTCTTCAAATCTCGCTCTGGCTGATATCTCTACCGTGGCACGTCTGTACCGCGCGAAGCGACTCCTTCCTGTGTCCTCAAAATTTCCACCATCCCAGTCTCTCAACAACACCATCTCCATCATCCGCAATGACATCACCAAGCTCCAAGTGGACTGCATTGTGAACGCTGCCAACAACTCGCTCCTCGGAGGCGGTGGCGTGGATGGTGCAATCCACCGAGCTGCAGGTCCCGAGCTAGTTGAAGAATGCTACCATCTTGATGGATGTGACACTGGCGATGCAAAGATCACTTCCGCCTACGAACTGCCCTGCAGGCGTGTAATCCACGCGGTCGGCCCAATCTACAGACAAGAAGACGACCCCGTCGCGCTCCTTCGATCCTGCTACCGACGCAGTCTGGAATTGGCAGTTGAGAATGACATGAAGAGCATTGCTTTTGCCGCTATCAGCACCGGAGTGTACGGTTATCCCAGTCGAAATGCCGCCGAAGATGCTATCAAAGAAGTGCGAGAATTCCTCGTTGGACCTAATATCGGAAAACTGGAGCGTGTCATCTTCTGCAACTTTGAGCTCAAGGATGTGACCGCCTACGAGGAGTTCATTCCGTAAGCTTGTCCCATCTCTCACACTGCTTGATAAGATACTGACAATGGTTCTAGGGAGTATTTCCCCCCACGCAGGAGGACTTGGCTGAGAGCAGCGACGCTTGAACCACCATGCCAATAAGATGTTACACGCCTCACTCGACATGCACACGGTGGAGACATGTACCAGCTTAGATTCCCGACACGATTCACGACCGTCAATACGAATTCAACGAAGCACAATATTTTCCTTCTTTGATATCAGTTAGTTTAGAAGCGAGTTTTGCTCAAAGACGTCCTTGAAACCGCCATCCTATCTTAGTGTTTCTCTATGCCGGTAGTACGTAAGGCGAAGATGAGACAGTTCGTCTCCATACTTCGATAGCGCTTTCGTATTAGTAGGGGCGATTTTCATTATTGGAATAAGTCTGGAAGCAGCTTCTTTTCTTCTTTATACTATCTTCTACGAAGACAACCATCTTAGTGTCAGCCCACTCGTCTACCTACGTACCGGATTTCCCCTTGGTGTCCCCTTTCCGTTTTAGTGCTCAGACCTTGCCGCTTTTGGCTCACTGAGTAGAACTGAGCACGCCTCTGAGCGATCGGATCGGATCTCATACATAAGCGTCTGATCCGACCTCGGGACTTTTGAGCATCACCCCTGATACTCTTCTGAGTAGCCAGGGGTGAGCGGCCTGAATAAGCTACATGAATAACAAGCTAACTAACTAGTTAGTTAGTTAGGTAGTTCCATCACATGTAGTCTTGGTTTTATTCCCACCCTACCCAGACACTGATGGAAACGATGCATATGTTAGACATCAACTATACAGCTCTTGCTCAACCTCCTTTCTAACCGTGCCGAAATCAAACCCTAAGACTTGAACCCCAGTTCCAGCATGCTCTCGTTGCTGGACGCCTTGCCCCCGCCAAAGTCGTTCAAATTCCATTTATCAACACTCTCGAAATCCTTCAACTCGTTTCCGAACCGTAGGAACAAATCGGCGTCCAGCTTCTCATATTCACTGTAATCCTTGGACCAGCCACCGAGGCGCTGAAGAGCAAGCTTGAGCAGGAGCAGATGCTAGCGGACAAGCTCGGCATCAGAGACGGAGGGGCCATTGGCCGTGTCGGTCAAATCTAGGTCAACTTCGAAGTCATCCATGCTTTTACCGCTGTTGAGATCGTTCTCTTCGGCTAAGGATGGGTCGGTCAGAAGGCTCTCGTGCAAGGCTGCGCTCTTCCTATAGTACCTGTTCGCCATGAGCTGGCCGTCCTTGAAGGACTGGTAGTGCACATCAGCACTGGTGCACAACTGCGAGACAAGAGTCGACATCTCCAGGTTTCTCCAGTAGAGAACACCGTTCACAAAGCGACATCTATACGCATAGTCCTCGACCAGGCGCACGGCATTTGAAGTTTCACTCACCAGATAGCCGGCCAGGATATAGCGGCGGCCCAGGTGAAGTGTATCAGCGGGCGACTAGTTGATCATCTGGTTATGGCGGTTCCAGAGACCAGTCAGAAGCAAGGCCAGCTCCATGTAGTTCTGAAGAATAGAGTTCCAGTTGACATTAAATATTTTGACTGACTTGCTCTTCCTTTGAAAGTCCGAACAGTTTGAGTAGCGCTCGATTCGAGTTCCCCGGATGTGCTAAGTCGCCGATCATAGGTGTCTTCAGTGCGGAAGGTTTCCGTTACGGATATTACATTTGTCAGTTTTAGATAATATATGTTGATACCTCGGTAGCTAAGATGGGAGAGTATCATTAGCGCCTTTACTTCCGGTCTTGCTTCGGGATCTGGTTCCCTTCCTGCATTCTGAGAATTATGTGTGTAGAATATATTTTTGTAAGTAGGAAGTCCATACCAATAGGAATACTTTACATTTTAGAATGACATTATTTGTGTCGCGTGATTTGGAGTGATGGCCGGCCTGGTAACTCCCAAGGTTGGAATATCAAACTTAAGACGCTGTTTGTGGAGGGATGGTGTGAGGTAAAAATGTTTGTCTCAGGCATCACATCATCACATGGGACCGAACCTGCCTAGATAGTTAGATAGATAGTATCATGTTGGAATAAAAAACGGCATTATTGCACTAGACCAACAGAAAAACCAAGGTTAATTAATGTCTATGGCCTAGTTAGTGGGGACTAGTTAGATAGTTCAGCTCTCACTTCCCCTCTCTCTCTCTCTTTCTCCGATAGTCTCGCTCGGCTCCGCTTGCAGACACCCACAGCAGATGTCCAAGGGCCACTCAAGTTCAGTCAATTCCGTGACATTTTCGGCGGACGCCGACTTCTTAGCATCTCCGATGTGATACCCTCCACGGACACCAGCATATTCCTGGGGTTACTCCAGTTCTCGGGTTAGGTCCGTGGCATCGGCAATTTGTTTATCGAGGTCACTCTCACAAATTGTAGGGATCTGGTTTGGAGAATGAAAGGAATCATCAATCATCAGTGACCAGCCTTTCCACAAAACGATTGAACCGATGGCAAGTCGAGGTATCTGACTCAAACTCACTCTCTGTCTTCATGTCACAAAATGGGCTGTCTGGGGATAGATGTGGAGAAAGAATTGGATTTCCGGACTACCCCACGAAAAGGCTATTTCGTTGACAGTAACCGGAAAGCCTATTTCCTACTTACCTATTGATGCGGCATACGGCTGTCACAAATCAACTTATATGAACATGAAAGACCTGTCCGGTCATCGATTCTTCTTCTATCGACTCTTCCAATTGTCGTTGTTCCAGACCTGTTTTCCAATTTTTGTTGTGTGCATTTTATATGATATCGCCATGGGTTTGAAACCGTTTCTTGGTCTTCGAGGAAATGCCCTCCTCCGAGCCGCCCTCTTTCTGGTTGTTTGCCCTACATTTACTTGCTACGGGTATAACATGAGTGTGGCTGGTGGCCTGTTGACGCTCGACGCGTTCAATGATCAATTCCCTCGAATGGACACGATCCACACCAGCGGAGACCTCCAACAACAGAACTCGCAGATTCAAGGTCGGCCAATCACCGCAAATATACCTACCTTGCTCCTCTCTGATAGACAAGATGTTACTAGGCACCGTGATTGCTCTTTTTACCGTTGGTGGCATCTTCGGCGCGTTATCATGCGTCTACTTCGGCGACCGCTGGGGCCGACGCAAGGTAATTTTCATAACCAACTTCATAACTATCATCGGCGCTGTCCTTATGGCGACTTCCTTCCAATTTGCCCAATTTATCGTCGCAAGGCTGGTTCTCGGGTTAGGGATTGGAGGGTATGTAGCGACGGTCCCCGTTTGGCAGTCTGAAATCTCGCCATCGCATATGCGAGGTTCAAACGTGGTAACAGATGGCATCTTTGTCGGAAGTGGTGTCGCACTTGCTCTATGGATTGACTTGGGCTTTTATTTTGTCAAAGGCAACTCAGTCATTGATGGCTCAGTCTCTTGGCGGTTCCCCCTCGTCTTCCAGGCCATCATGCCGGCCACCGCAATGGTTTTTATTACGATGCTCCCTGAGTCCCCTCGCTGGCTAATTAAGACCGGTAATGTGGCGCAAGGACGAAAGGTTCTAGCAGCATTGCTTGATGCCGAGGAGGACTCAGATATCGTTGATAACAACGTCCGCGATATTGAAGAATCTCTCGTCCACTGCGGATCGGGGGCGTGGACTGATATGTTCACAAACGGAGAACAACGTCTCTTCCATCGCGCCTACCTAGCTGCAACAGGCCAGATGTTCCAACAGATGTGCGGTATAAATGTGATTACATACTACGCAACCACTATCTTCGAGCAGTATCTCGGAATGAACCCCGTAAATTCCCGCATTGTTGCTGCTGCGATGCCTCTAACGCAGCCTTTCGGTGGCTATCTCGCTTATTACACTATCGACCGTCTCGGCCGGCGACCTCTATTGCTATGGAGTGCCGGGGCCTTATCGGTTTGCATGGCAGGTCTCGCCGGCACTACCTCGCCCGCCGCTGGTGATAACACGGGTGCGCTAGTGATGGCCGTGGTCTTCCTCTACGCCTTCCAATTCATTTCGACAGTCGGTTATGCCGGCCTGACCTTCCTCTACGCCGCGGAAATAGCACCTCTCCAGATCCGCGCCGCTGTGAACGCGGTATCGACCGCCACCGTATGGTCTTTCAACTTCCTTCTAGCTCAGCTGACTCCTATCGGCTTTGCGAGGATCGGAAACAATTTCTATATTGTCTTCGCCATTATCAATGCGTTAATTGTACCATCCGTGTATTTCTTCTTCCCTGAGACAAAGGAGCGTTCGCTAGAAGAAATTGACGAGATCTTTGCGCGGTCCAAGAACATATTTGACCCGCCCCGTGTGGCGCGTGCCATGCAGCGGGAAAGGCAGATGGTTTATATCGGCGAACCGCCTTCTGAGGCTAGGGATAATACCGAATCCAGCGACGATGCCCTCAAGGTGGAACCCAAGGCGTAAGAGGGCACTCTTCTACGCAATTTCGCCACGCGCAGGTACAACCTTTATTACCCGAATACTTTGTTGGAAGCAGATGTGATTTCCTCTTGAATTTTGGCCTTGTTCGGTAATTAAAGATGGTACAATTGCCCTGGGACACGCATCAGGTCGGACTTTCTCTATAGGGTTCCGGATATAGCAGACATTATGATTTGATTTTTTATGCATCCATATAGCCAGTAAAACGAACTAAATCAATCTGAATAATTCTAGTAGTGATCTTAGTGCTCTAGTACAACGCCATGCAGGGAATAGACGAATGTTGTACCCAACTGTGAATATACACAAGGTAACGGAAGCATATGCTGTTCTCCTCGTACGGCTATCAAGCTTTACTAAACGAACTTATGCTTACAGAACTTTGCAACCTATGGATCTCAAACTAGTACGTGATACTCCGTTCTCTTTCATGTATGAAGATAGACAACTCATTCATCTACTTTCTACAGTATACAATATTGGAATTTCATTCATAGTATGCATCAATATCGTGCCGAAAACTGGAATACCCTGGAATAACCTAGAATATGAAAATATATTATTGATCCAACTCTTCTGCACTTTGGATCATCCCCTTATCCGGCTCCGCAATCAAATGAGCCGCCAATGCTGCCGCTTGTGCGCAGTGGGGCTTCCTTAGACACCTTGTTTGAGTGAGGTTGTTATATTGCACTTTTGGGTACTGCTTGCGCATAATTTGATTTCCTTTTTCGATGATGTTGTTTCGGACGGTATCTATTTGCCTCGTTTCAGTTCACATGTACAATATGGATCTAGACATGCAGCCTATCTGGTGATCTAAAGATCTTCGTGATAGAAAGGACATAATGAAAGTATTGCTAGAAATTTTCGAAGGCTATAGGTAATAGAGAGAATACTAATATACCGGAGATCGAGGATAAGATATAAGTCGTCCTAGTTTCTGCGTTGGGATAGAAACTCGCAATCAGTACGTCACCAAGCCATAATTCCTAAATACAGACGGTAGTCCTGGAGTCTTTTGGTTATATTACAACTTGTTATCCATAGGCCGTTCAATATCGTCTTTGGCCTCAATGATTTGAAGATGTCTCGATCTCAAAAGATGCCCCTCCGGCCGCTCCATCTTTTTTGGAAGAAAGTGCCAAAATGCTCTGCCATACTCTGCTTGGATGAGCGCATCTTACAGAAAATCTACCAACACCTCTCACTAGTCGATCAAGTTTGTCTATCCCTCAGCTGCAAAGAGCTCTACGGCCTATTCGGGACAATAGTGAAGCACAAGGATCTTGAATTTCCACGACTCTTGCGTATCAGGAACCCAATAGTATGCGTGAATAGTCAGGATGTGCTGCGAAATCAACTCCTTCTTCGACTCGAAAATCGTCGCTGGGCCTATTGTGCAAGGTGCCTGAAACTCCATCCACGGAAAGAATTTACGAGACATTTACTGAGACAATCAGCTCTGGCGAGATCCTGCACATACTACGCTGGTATAGCTGACCTATGTCCCTGTATTTCTCTGACGATTCGAGGTCGAGACCAGCTTGTCAAGATCCTCAAACAATCGGCAAAGCCAGCCAAAACCAGATATGGCCCATTCGTATATGACGTTGATGATAGAGGACAACCCAGCCTCGGTCATGTCTGTGAATTTAGTACTAGGTCTGGCTACGTTATGCGAGTTGCTCTGGTTTTAGTTATTATTAAGGAAACTGGCCAGTTATGTGCAGCGGCTCGGCATACTATAACGTTCTCTTTCCCCGACGCTCATTTCACAGCTGAGCCTACCTTTGCTTGTCCTCATCAGGATCTCCTATCTCTCGTCCCCGAGAACCAAGCCGCTGAAGATCCTCACATGCACCAGACTTTGATTTCTTCGAAACCTCATCAAGATATCCTGTCTTTTGTCCCCGGGAAGCTGGTCTCAAAAGCCTGTGTAGCGTGTCCGACTCTGATTACAAAATACGCTTTGTCTGAAGACAAGAATCTGGCTGCTTTCTGGGTCGTTCGAAATCTGGGAAGCTGTAAATGGCCTGTAGACCGTCCTTGGTTTGACCAGTGTCGTCTCACCGGAACATTCTTTTCGCATAATGATATATACTGGTGAGCTTATCAAAGGATCCGCGAAGAAAGAAGAACTATTACTGAAATTCCCCATTAGGCTTCGGTCCCGGAACTTGCAGAAGATGATGCAAGGTGTTTACGGTCAGTGGAAAAGAGATTACTGCCTGGAGCAGAAAAGAAGGTTGCTCCAACATCAAAGCGAATCATCACGAACTACAGGTGACGAAACCCTAGCTAGTATCCCGACGGCGACGCTGCTTTTTCTAGCGTCGAGTTGTTGAAGGAAAAAGAGAAACATGATGTGCATTACCTACCTATGTAGGTAGGTAAGCTAGAGAAAGTGGCTTTTTATCTACGTGATGTTTAAAAAGAAGGTTGGAAGATATCCGCAAAATACTGACGTTGGTCCTACGATTCCGACGCCGAATGTAGAATCCGTGTAATCTTATATATGTCTTCTCTGCCATCTTTGGTACCCAGGATGAACTTACTGCCGAAGACGTCGCCCTTCTCGGGCTATCAATAACCGTAACCATCATGTGGGCTGTGATCGTGTTTTTCTACGTCGAGTGGTGGAGGCTGACACGCACACTGAATCCTCCATGGTCAGACACTCGGGTGCCCGTGACGTGGGAACTATCTATAACTCGGCGTCCAGAACAAGATTAATCTAGGAATGGTGTCTGTACCCGTATAGCGCCGAGAGCTATAATAAGGGACGCCGTCATAAAATGCCTCAACTGACGGGCCGTAACCCGCCAACGTTCTCTCCGGGACTTGAGAGGCTCTGCGTGACTGCGTTGCTTACACCAAGGGTCCATGTCATCATTGACTTCAATTTTTGCCTTGCTTTGCAGAAGTTAGAGGGTTTAAATGGACCCTAGTCTTTTTCAGTACAATGTTCGTTAGGTATTTCTTTTGCCCCTTTGTGGTTCCCCTGTTAGAAGGTCTTGAGTTGCTGTATATTCGGTCAGGGCGGGTAATCCAACGTTGATTTGCACTAAAAGGAGGTCACTCTCACAATAATCGGGAATCGGGATCCTTGTGAAATGAAAGGACACGAGACTTTGATGTATATCTATCTTCTAGGTATAGCGAAACGAGAGATACATGTTTGACTCTTGGCTTAAACCGCGGGGTTGAATCATTTCATTGATTCATTTACCTTTGCTGCAACAGCAATATCTCATTCTGATGTCCAACTCGAGCCTTCCTTGATGTCTCAAGCAAAATCGTAGTTTCCACAGCAGCACTTCCTCAAGTTGTGAATTTCCCAGGTCAATATAAATGTCCCTAGAGATAATATCCTCCCGTCAGAACAGTGGCGATCATTATTTCAAAATCTCACTGTGAACCACAGCGTGCCTCGGAACAAGCCATACTCGTAGACAGTAGGAAGGCCTTCATGGAGAAATACGGTTCATGCGGAACATATCGTAGCCACTTAGCAGTCACTCAAGATTTGAAGCGACTAAAGACTTAGGTACAGGCGAAAGCAGGATGCAAACAGTGCAAACACCCTATCAGATCGCGCATTTGAGGATCCCCAGCTCGGAACCACTTCACTCCAATTCCAATTGCAAGTCCTTCGATAATCAAAGCTACATAATGGAACTTGACTATCTGAACTGAGCACCTAATCTTCAACATCCTCAATCGCCCCGCAAATCCCCCTCGACCTCCGCCTCCCACTCCAAAAATGTCAAAACCACAACGGCCAAGAGGCATACCAACCCCCAACCCGCGGTTCCGAGTCCATATCCGCGAAGAGCCAAAGCCCCAAATCCCAGAACCCTCAACATACGAGGGCCCATCCCTCTCCAAACAAAAACGAACCCCCGCATTCATCTCACATTTCGTCACAAACCTCCGCCAACGCATCACCGCCCTCCCATACCCAGTCCGACGAGCATGCCGCACTCTCCGCTGGGCAGCACCTATCCTCCCAATCGCCCTCTTCTTCCCAGAACACGTAATGCAAGTGATGTGGGTTCGCGGCCCGTCAATGACACCATACCTGAACGAGGAGTATGCGCAAACACAAACGAAGAGCGACATGGTGATGGTCAACATGTGGCCGTGGGGATCTATACTGCCGTTTAAAAAGGAGCGCAAGCTTGAACGAGGGATGATTGTTACTTTCCGGTGGGTTTTTTCCCATGCGTGTTTACCTTTATTTACTTCTTTTTACTCTATTTTGTATACCTTGTTTTTTGTCGAGTCCAGTGGCAGCAAATACTAACAATATCCCCGATACTTATAGCTCACCTGCAAACCCGTCTCATATCGCTATTAAGCGCATTATCGGCTTACCCGGTGACCGCATCACGACTCGCGAGCCATGTCTACGACAAACCCAGATCGTCCCGTGGAATCATGTTTGGTTGGAGGGTGATGCGGAGGATCCGCGGAAGACGTTGGATAGCAATACGTATGGGCCTGTCAGTCTTAGTTTGATTACTGGGCGGGTATTTGCGGTGCTGGGACCGCGGATGCGGTGGCTGAACTGGACGGACTGGGAGTCTGGGGCGACGGATGATGCGGCTGCGAGTTTGTACAATCAGAGTGTGCGGGATCGTGTGTTGAAGGATGCTGTTAAGCTCGATCAGCCGATGTTGAATTGATGAGCGGGATATGTATAGATGGAGTGTGGCGCATGTATTGGCCTCTTGTATTTGTTAATAGGGCTTAGTTTTCCCATGTTCTGATGATGTCGTGGACTGGGACTTGTACATATATTAGGAACGTCTTTTGGATATAATTGTATTACTACTTTCAAGTACAAAACGCTGTGCTATGCGTATTTGCGGGTGAAAGGACCGAAAAGAGGAAAAGAAAAGCGAAAACAAAGTGGTATATACCACTAAAAGAGGAACCATGTATGGCGGAGAAATGCAGACAATGCAATCAGTAATTAGAGAGAAACAAGCCGTATATCTTCATGTTTCTCTTCCTGAAGACGGTCAATTTCCGAGGAAATACTCATCACCCAACGATCCTTTTCCACACGACTACGTGCTTTAAACACGATGGTACGGCCATGCTTGCCCAGCGTGGACACATGACGCAAGGATCTTTTGGCTTTGCCTTGCTCCCCTATTTCCTGGGCTCGGAAGTAACTCTTACTCAAGGGTTGCCAGACCACGAAGGTGATAGCGGCGTCCTCGTCGCGACTTGTGAAGGCATCTGAATCGAGGTACACCCGCGGCAGAGCATGAAGACCAGGGTTATTGCTGTCGAATGTTTGATTGGCATACAGCAAGTCATTCTCGGTAATCAAGCCAGAATAAATATAGCAATCTTCCAGTTCAATAGTTGCTTCAAGTTCTTGATGAATGTGTGGAATCTCGGTGCCGTTTCGTCTGCGCAGTGTGCTTCGGAAAATTAACAGCTTGCCTGCTGTGAGGATGACATGGCATTGGTGGAAAGTTGTATGGCGACGGGGTTTGCGATAGAGGTCGCCGGACATCTGTTGATGTTGTCAGTAGGTTGTGCTGATGTTATGCTGCGATAACCTACCTTGATAGTCCTACAACCAGACAGGGAGCACATGTTGTGCAAGTGTGGAGATGCCTCGGCTTTCTTCACTTCCCACTTCTTCGCGAACTGCCCGATAACAGATTCCATAGCTTCGTCGATATCCAACAGCTTGAGATTACGCTGCCGCACGGCCTGCAGCTCTGCGGCATCGCCTGTGCAGCGAGTGTGCCAATACTTCACAAGCGCATCGAGCCGTTTGACCCACTCATCCCGTGTGGCATCATCGTATGCCTGGAGTCGAATGACAAGACCATTATCCAGAACCATTTCAAATGTCCTATCGTCATCGAACTCTCGCGTTGCTCCGTCATCCTGTCGTGAGTCTCTGGGTTCACGGTTGAAGTCCACAGAAGGTCCTTCCCGGATGTTAGGATCAGCAGGGCAGCTGCCACGATAGACATTGCGGACCTCTTGCACCCGACACATATCGATATACCCATCCGATTGGCTGATATTGTGTACATTCCTCTGCACATGTGCATATGCCTCTTCATCGTGCCGTTTGACGAATTCCTGATTCCCGCTGGAAAGCCATGAAATCTGTCCACTTTCAAGTGGATAAGGATCGATATCCCATGAAAGCGGCATTTGACCCAAGATTTCACGGGCAGTTGGCACACTACCGTCTTCTGGGGGAGCACATTTCGGCGGTGGCGGGGGCATTGCCTTGGCTGGCCGACAGAAAAACAAATAATGATCTTGGGTAAAGAAGTACAGTCGTTTGAAGAACATCTTGTTCTTCCGCTGATGCACACCCTTCTGGGATGTAAGACGGACTAGAAATCCTTCGATCGGGGCAGGCTCCTCCTGTATACCCCGGTGCCTGATTGTAGTAGAGTAATGATATCTTGGTCGTAATTCAAGCTCATGAGATGATTGCATCCCAATGGTCCCATACATCTTTTCTTCATTGGCTCCAAATACCCATTCAAGGCGGTCGTACCGCTTCCAAGCAAGTCCCATCTTCTCGGTCTTGGACCAAGCTTTCAAGACCTCGGCCCACTCGGCGCGGCCTTCGAGCATATCCATGCATCCTCGGATGATGGTAGCGGCAGCAAATTTGTTATCAACTGCTACTGAATGCTCGCTATCAGAATTATCTGCTTTCAGTCCTGCCTCGAGCTGGCTGAAAGGATTTTTGAAAATGAGGGAAACCCCAAGATCAGGGACGTGGATAGGCAGTGAGGTGGGACGCCGCCAGCCAAGTACCTGGAGAATGAAAGTGTACCATTCAGCAGAGTGTGCCGCAGACTTTGGACGGAGGATGAATATTTTGGTTCCACGCTTGAGGGGATGCCAAATAACGATGGTCTTGTCGAGGGGAGAATAGAAGTTAACATGGGTAGTTTTGTGGTTGAGCCGTACTTCGTAATAAGGAGGTGTTTTGCTGTCCGAACGTTGTACATCAGGAATTACACGAGTGCGGTACATCTGAATGGCGAATGGCGTATGCTCTACAGAGCTTTTGCGGCATACGACGAGGAACTCCCTCCACTTGTCCACTGTCCGTGTTTCCATGCGCAGGCTGTCATTCTCGGTGTAATCGGCCGGAAGTGTATCCTGCATAGTCTCCTCCACACAGACCAGCATTTTTTCCGCTTTAACAATCTCCCCATCTTGCACCTTTCGTCGGTGCGGTCGATTGGCAGAGATAGTACCTTGGGTCTTTGCAATCTTGGAGCGCATTTTTTGCTGCCTGTGTCCGATGTTGTCATTTAGGTTGAATTTTGCCATCTTCCTAGTGAGTCTCCGTTGGACATGCGCATCTTCGCCAGTATCATCTTCATCTTGTGGGTCGTGGTGTTGAAGCGTTGCTCGAGATATACCAGATGCCTTGCTTTTTTGCTTCCCTTTGTCCTTATACCTGCTTCGAAGAAGCTGAGTTGTCGAATCGGCCTCGCTTGGAACCGCGGATGGATTGGGGGTAAGAGTGCTGGGAGAAAAGTGACCGGTTAAACTTGTGTTATGTGAGCCGCGGGACTTTGGTCGCCGCTCAGGCGGTTCCGATCTGCTAGCTTGTATCGTGGCTATCGATTGTACCGTGTCTGCAGAGCTGGCGGCCTCTTCTCTGGCGGTGACAAACGAAGACGAAGCAAGATCGTTGCCGTACATGTCGTATTGCCCCCTTGTTCTGGCTTTGGGGGTGCTGTCTGTATCCTCTCCGCTGTCCTCTCCGCTGTCCTCTCCGCTGTCCTCTCCGCTGTCCTCTGCGTTGTCCTCTATGCCACTCCCCTGGCTGTATTCTGCATTATCTTCCCCGCTATGTTCCCTGATCTCTGTGGCATCTTCCGGCAAGGGGTCGTCAATACTGGCCTCGGCTTCAGGGTGGGTTATGGTCTGCAGTTCCCCCACAGGCTCTGCTGTAGCTTCTTCCCGTGCCTCTGTTTCGATCTCATCACATTGCGCCTCGGCGGCCTGCGTGCTTGTGTTGGTGAGCGCTAAGGCAACCTCCTCGTCTAAATCGGGTGACGATGGGTCGGGCCGACCGCCATGTTCACTGTAGTGGGTCGCAACAGGGCCTGCAGAGAAGGAGATGTTCTGTGATGTATAGTTCCTGACTTTCAGTCGAGATTTATACCAGGACTTGCGATGACCTTGCAGCCAGCCTTCTGGAATTGGACCAACGAAAAATCGCCGGTTCGTCATATGCAAATGGTTGGCAGAAGCATGACGCTGTCAAAGAGCACCAGGTCAGCTCGAACAACTCAACTCCCAGGAGACGGAGACATACCAGCTGCTGGTCTGTATATGAGCCAGTCTGCAAGCCATGATAGTGTTCATGGTATGACGAGCTTGGGTCAGTTTCTGGTCGCGACCCATTGGCCTGGTCCGGTGAAGAGGTCATGACAATCTACTATGTAGTACCCTTGCGGACCAAAAGGGCATGCATCAGACATATGCAGGAGCAAATAAATTGCCCAGACATCAACGAACCCCAAGTAAAGTTCATAGGGCGATCGACAATCTCGATGTAATGTGGTTCGATGACGTCGTTGCAAGATCCATGTCAAATGCTGCAAACATCACAAACAAGTTGTTGACACTTAACTGTGTTGGTCCTGTTTACACTGTTTGCAGCCTCTCTAGTTATCCCGTGTGCCCCGCCATTATTGGCTTGCGTGGCAGCAGCGGTGAAGTCGACAATACCTAACGGTCTCCTGATTAAGCTCTTTTCTCTTTCTCCATCTATCTATTTTCTACTTGAATTCTTTTACAAAAATGGCTGCTATCCCCGCTGACGGAACATGGTTTGATACCATTAACAAGTCCTTCGCTGATGTCCCTATCAATGCGGAGAGTGGCATCTCGACCACCGAGTTCCTCGAGGCCGCTGAGTCGCTGGTGACTCTCTTTGGTGCGTGCTTTTCCCCTGCATAGACCTACCTCCACCTAATGCAGGAACTTTTTAGACGTCCTCGGTTCTGCCGCCTTCACCCCGGTCAAGAATGACCTGCTCGGAAACATCAAGGTTCGCCCAATACATTATGTCGCCGGTGTCAACACATTCTAAAACTCATGCAGAAAGTCCGTGAGCGTCAACAGGCAGCTCCTGCGGAGTCTGAGACCCTGCAAGACCTTGTCCTGAACGAATTGAAGACCGGCAAGCACGTTGCCACTGAAGGTCTGGTCTGGCTGGTCCGGTATGTTCGCCTGTCTCAATTGTGAATGGAAGAGGTCAATTGCAATGGCATCGCTTCCATTTCCACAAATCTGCATGAACGATTGACTGATAATTGGCTCTTCTCACCAGAGGCCTCGACTTTACCGTCCAAGCCCTCCGTCACAACATCGACAACTCCTCCTCGGAACTCGCCGACTCTTTCCGCGGTGCCTACGGCAACACCCTCAAGCCCCACCACTCCTGGATTGTCAAGCCTGTCTTCAGTGCTGCCATGTCTGCCACCCCATACCGCAAGGACTTCTACAAGAAGCTGGGTGAGGATCAGGCCAAGGTTACTGCCAAGCTGGCCAAGGAGGTCGCTGCTTTGGAGAAGGTGATCGCCATCCTGAAGACTTTCCAGGATACCAAGCCTGCTCAGTGGAAGTAAGTTTGCCCTGGAGGCCTTCCCGCTTTGATTAAACATGTGCACTGTGCAACTTGATGTGTAAATATTCGATTTGGCTTCATTCAAGCATGCGAGTTTGTATTCTGTAGCGAATTCACTGTTTTGGTCGTCAAGGTATCTAGAGCATGGCGTATCTGTGGTAGAGATCCAAGCGTTGCAACCTTGGAATGAGATCACCAATTTATAGGAAGCAGATGTCACATGGAAGAAGGTAGGGAAATGACCAGCGGACCAGTCAGTCTATAAGAGTGAATTGAATAGGGAAACAGCAAGACAGCTCACAACGTACATTGTAGTAAGCTTGTAGTCCTGCACCAATTATACGTATTCGCTGTGCTTATTGGGTTTCGTCCATGCCTGAGAAGGAGGTGCACCCGAGGCCAGCGTCACCACCCACCCGTCGACCTGGGTAGACTCGGCAGGGTATCCTCCACAGCCCCACCAGATGCTTCACAGAATCGAAGGGCCCCATCTTATACTACTGGGGTATCGCCTTGTCTGGGCACGCAGTCTAGGCCTAATTTAAAACATCCGTGTGTCGAGAATATTTGTGGAATGATCCCTATATTGTGACGGTAGACCGAGTGAAATAGTATAATATGGTGATAATATTGCCGATTATCCAATAGTATGTTGTTGGTACATAACTAATCCGAAATGGTGGTATATCAACCAACATACAACATACAACATACAACAATACAGAGTAGGGACAGCGATTGTTAGGTCCCAAGGTTACTTTTGGGGTCCACCTGGGCACGGAATCCGTAAGCGGTAATTTCCGACAACCCACCCGTGGACGAGTTAACTAACTGCCTAGGTACATGCAGATCTTGTACCTCTTCTACCGAGGTCCCCGCTGATCAAATGCTTCTCTTCACATCTATATTGTCCGTTGTAGGGATTTCCTGAAGAGCTCGAGACGATTAGCATCAGATCTCGATGCGGAGTATCGAAACGAATCTCTAGATCGATCCATCCCCTCCGATGAGACCTAGATTAAGTGCGGTCATATCGCCAAATCGCCAAATCTTACCAGTATTTTCCGTAATGCACAACCCCTAGACAAGGATCGCCTGCAATAACCGCAACTAAGGATTTAAGTGGTGTAACTGGGTTTGGGATGGACGGGAGTGTTCCCCCTGAAGACAACCGAAGACAACCTTTGGAACCTTCCAAGGTTGGAAACTTCAAAGCAGATTATCAGCACCGGCTACCCGTTATAGAATAGGGCCGGCACTAGCATCACGGCAGTATCGTGGTGGTATCACAGACTTGGATCTATTCAAGCCATCGACTCCACTGGTTAGACTTGATTCGTGGTCATCAGTGGGGAATGGATTGTTCGGTTGGACTCAAGTCATGGAGAACAAGAGGCCTGTGCGTATTCTACATCGTGGTAGTAATGAGAGAGGCTTGAGCGGTGGCATCTGAAACTCATTGGAAGCTCTTGTCGTATTCAGAACAGTTGCCATGCATGTGGCTTCCACATGGGTCAGAGTTCTCTTCCATTGATTCCGTCTCTGCATGGAAGAGAGAACCTTACTCCTAATACGGAGTACCATTCGAAGCTATTGGTAAAAAATAGATTTTCTTTTTTTTCTTTTCTTTTTTTTTTTTTGAGTTCATCCCCTTCCTCCACATGTGAAACCCTCCATGTTCCACTCCACGGTTAGAAACTCGCCCTAAACTCTGCCCAGGTGCCGAAGGGCCCATTGTTCCATGGTTTGAAGCAGATATCTAACCCAATATTAACAAGCGTGTAATACTACCCGTTGGGTCTGGATATTGTCTTTTTGCCTATTTTGCATTTTACCGTTATTTTTCCGCATTTTGCTTTTTTTTTTACGAGAACATCGTATTGGCCCCTCTCTTTCTTGGCCCGTTCTCGCCACTCATGCCCGGTCGTAAGGCTTGATCTACACAGTAGTGGGTTTTCTCTTATTATAACAATTCTCTCTCCCTTTAAACTATCTTATTCTTGTTGCTCCTTGAGTCCTTCGGACATCCTTGCATACTTCGTAGGGAAAACCATACGGAGTACGGCATGAATTGGTGACCATATATTCTTTCCTCGGGTCAATAATGTTGCCCCTTGAAGGTCGTAGCCAGACGATCTTTATCGTTACTACTATCTTCCTTGGAATCTCATTTATTGCCGTGTGTCTACGATGCTTCGTGCGCCTTCGGATTGTCAAGGCCTTTGGCTGGGATGATAGCTTTATGGTATGCGCAATGGTATGTATGATAGGTTTGATGTCCAAAACTGAAGCTAATCTGGGCTGATTGATTTGCAGTTATTAAATATCTTGTTTGCGTTATGCGGTATCACTGGCGCATTATATGGAATAGGACAAAAATCCAATGATCTCGTGAAGAGGGGTACGATAGAAACCGCAATGTTTGTATGTTGACCTTCAACTCCCAGCCTTCACTTACGAGATGAGAATCACATGCTAAAACTCCCTCAAAGTGGTGGTGGCTCGGCCAAACCATCTATGTCTGGACTTGTGGGCTGGCCAAGATCTCTATCGCATCCGCCCTCCTCCGCTTGACGGTTTCCAATGCCCATAAACTCGTGTTATGGGCTGTGATTGGCGTCACTTGTATTATTGGTCTTGTCTTCTGGTTCATGTTGACATTGCAATGTCAACCGGTGGAGTTCTTCTGGCAACAAGTTCGCCTTTTGTCGAACCCTCATGCCAATGTTTCTGGCACTTGCATGAACCTTGACCATATCATTGCCATAGCCTATGTCTACAGTATCACCGCTACACTGTGTGATCTGATCCTGGGTCTTTTGCCTATTGCCCTGGTGTGGAACTTGCAGATGAACCTAAGGACCAAGGCTGCCTTGGCGGGCATTCTGGGAATGGGATGCATGTATGTCTGGCTCTTTGATATCCCTGAAATAAGGCTTAGTACTGACGTATTCTATTGTAGTGCGAGCGCGGCAGTCATCATTCGCATTCCCTTCTTACACAACTACGAAGATACTGACTTCCTATGTGAGTTCCCATTCCTCTGGTTTATATCCACTCGATAAAATCCACAGAGAATGAAAAACAGCAACAGCTAACACTATTCAACCCCAACAGATGCAACCGCCAACATCTCAATCTGGTCCAATGTCGAAGCCGGCCTCGGAATCGCCGCAGGCAGTCTAGTAACTCTTCGACCGTTATTCCGCTGGTTCCGCGACCCCAGCTCTATGGGAGAAAGTAGGAGCAAAAGCAAGCGCACCGGCGGCAGCATGCCTCTCTCAAGCATCAACGGAGTGCGCTCCACCACATCCAACCCGCAATACTGGCGACCAGACATAGATCCGGAAGACCAACACATGGTGGTTACGACTATTCAAACCTCGAATGGATCGGAGGCGAGCCGGACGAGTAGCCAAGAAGATCTGAATCCGAGACACACTGGCACATTCTTTCAGGGGGTGAATGTCCAAAAAACGTTTTATGTTTCAGAGGATCAGAGGTAGTTAGATACCTTGGTAGACTATAATATATCTAAGCTTTAATCTTTTTCCTTTTTCCTTTTTCCTTTTCCCTTTAACCATAGTGGATTGGCTACCGTCAAACATGCCACCGGCGCCCTTTTCTACCATTTGATCGAGCGGGTATCGTCCCACCACTGGGTGCGTGGCTCTACTAAACGGAAAATCTTTCCGGAGGAAGTAACAACTGCTATTATCGATCCCTACTCTCTCGTCATCCAGTTAAACAAGCCGTCCTCTTGAAGACGTTCCATGGCTCCTCTCTCAAGAACGAATCTCAACTCAAATGGCTGCGACGCGACATCCCCCTCTAGATCTCGTACAGGCAGAACCCAGCAGGCTCCTTTGACCTTTGTCTCTGGGATGTCGTATTTTTGGACCCTTCCCATAGGTCCATAGTCCAGATAAAAGTCCATCCAGCGTAAGCTTGATGTTATGATGCTTCTACCGTAAGCTGGGTGAAATGAGGAGAGGCTATTCCTATTGGAGATGTTGAGCAGGATGCCTTGCAGATAACTCTCCGACAATAAACCAATTTGCTCCCTCAGAGCGATGGCAATGCTACAGACCTGGTCTAGCTCTTTCTGGCTCAAGCTTTCCGGGAAATCTGGATGTGCCATCCCTTGCACTTGCCGGAGGGAATCATATGTGGTTTCGACCGGCACAAGCGCGTCACCCATATAGTTTGCAGGCAGTTGACAATGCTTTCGCACATTTGCAGCTATGATGACCTTCGGTGGTGAGACGGTTCCAGGCACAATTTCTTGGCGCGCCTTGTTGCCACAAAACCCTACCAGAGCGGTGATAATGTCGTTGGTTGTACAGAGGCTGGACTTCTCAGTGCCGCCATGAGACTCAGAAGTAATAACTGAATTGCAAGCGTTCTTGAGCACGGCGAGCTTCTGGGCACTAAAGCTAAAGTGTCGGCTGACGGGCTCCTGGGCGGGATCTACTGTCGGGGCTGCGTCAAACGATAATGGAACCGGTGTCCAGTTAAATGGCAGTGGTTCCTTGGCCTTGAAATCCTCGATATGCTGTCTAGCGGTTTTTTCTGCTGCGTCACTGGTCGAGAGCGCGTCAGGTGTCGTTTCAGGCGCTCTGCAGAACTCGGACAGAATCTTGAGCACCACCGACACTCCTGTGCTGTCCAACGCTCGATGGTTATACGCGACGCAGAGGATAATCTTGTGTCCCGTCACGTTTGCTTGAAAGCGCACCAAAGGCATAGCCTTCGCTGGATCCATCAAGAAGGGGATAGGTAGGTATTTCTGCTGGATGAACTCGTCTTGCGCGATCTTGTCCATCTCCGGGTTAAAAGCCACTTGGAGCATGGGATACTCCCGAAGGAATGCTGCACTGGCTGGTTTGACTTCGAACACGTCTGTTTTTCCCAGAGGTTGACTCGATGGAGCAACCACGCCGGTCAGGAATGGGAAATGTTCACTCAATCGGGTGACGCCGTGGCGAAGGGCATCAATGCCTTCCATGGAGGCGTGATCAAAAGAGAGGAACATGAACATGTGGCAAGGGGGCAGGATGTGATCCAACGAGGTGAGATTGTATGCCGGGAAGGGATATGGATCGTGCGTGAGCGAACTGCTGTCATTTAACGAGCTCACAATATCTATGGTGTTTGTGACTTCTGACCCTGATTGTGTCTGCTCATTGACTTCGTCGATGATATTCGAGACGACCGCTGGTTGCAGTAGCTGCAGCTTGTCGTTAGCAAAGAAACAAAACTATTCCATCACTCCCCATTGGCCACGTACAGTAGAGGTATCGCCCATCTGGTCCATCTCGCCCTCGAGTAAATTTCTAAGTAGTCGTCGCATGATCTTTCCTGAACGAGTCTTCGGGAGATCGCTCACAATAAATACCTTCTTGGGCACTGCAAAGCGACCAATCACTTCCCCAATATGCTGCTTTGCCGATGATCCAAGCTTCCCTTTGTCCACCTCAACCTGGTTTTTGAGGCAGGCAAACACGTTCAGGGCTTGACCGGTCAGTTGGTCCTGAATACCAACAACTGCAACTTCGGCGAAAGCACCTGTATCCCATCAGCCGGCATGTCAACATCTAACGGATCTCCTGGGAGCTTACCATGATCCAAAAGAGCGGACTCAATTTCAGCCGTTGATAAACGATGGCCTGAGATGTTAACCACATCGTCTACTCTCCCCAGGATGCTGTAGTAGCCGTCTTGGTCTCGGTAAGCGCTGTCACCAGTCACCTTAGGATCACGTCAGCGCGCACTCCAGGTATACGACGAATGGCCTCACTCACAAAGTATCCCTTGTGTTCCTCGAAATAAGTCTTCATGTACCTGGCGTGGTCACCCCACACTGTACGTGCGATGCCCGGCCACGGCTGCTTGAACACTAGCAATCCTCTTCCCTCGCCTCCCTCAATTTCTTTTCCCGAGTCCGGCTCAACGAGGGCTGGTTGGAAGCCAAAGAATGGCACAGCCACACTGCCAGGTTTGGTAGGGGTGATTGCCGCCAGGGGGGAAAACGCGTGACATGCCGTTTCTGTCTGGAAATACGTCTGGAGTTCAAGAAATTTAAGAAATCAGCTCCGTGTTGTCTAGACGTTGGTCTCTGACTCACATCCAAAACATGCGCCTCTTTACGCCCGAGCTCTTCGTAACACCACTGCCACACACTGGGCGCCAAAGGCTCGCCTATCGACGCAATGACCCTCAATCGCTCCAGCGGTTTAATGCTTCCGTTCGGCCGAGCCTTTTTTATCATCCGCAGAGCCGTAGGAGCTGCATAGAAGTGGGAAGCTTCGCATCGATTGAGGATCTGCCAGAATCGATCGTAGTCTGGGTACGCAGGGGTCCCTTCAAACACTACGGTCGTGGTTCCAAGCACCAAGGGCGTATACACGAGATAGTTATGACCGGTGATCCATCCGACATCCCCGGCACAGAACATCGTATCAGAGGGGTGGAGATCCAGTACGTATTTTCCCGAGACGGCACAACTGAGCAGGTACCCGGCCGTGGTATGCATAAGACCCTTGGGCTTTCCCGTCGAGCCAGACGTGTAAAGCATGTACAATGGATCTTCGGCTCCCATAGACACTGGCTCGCAATATCCCGGCCACCTGGCGCATTCTTCATGCCACCAGAAGTCAGTACTTCTCTGAGACCAGGGCACTGGATTTTCGGTTATTCTTAGGACAAGACACCGTAATTTGGGACCTTCATAGTCCGCGAGTGCGTCTTCAACAACATTCTTCATTGGAACGAATTTGCCGCCACGAACGCCTTGGTCAGCAGTAATAATGACCCTTGAACGGGCATCATCCAGTCGGCCTCTGAGTGACGGGGCCGAAAAACCGGCAAAGACGACGGAATGAACAGCGCCGATGCGAGCACAGGCTAGCATGGCAACGACTGCTTCGGGAACGTTAGGCAGGTATATGGTCACAATGTCGCCTTTCTGTACACCGAGGTCTTTCAACACCCAGGACAGCTTCGAGACATCTCGCAATAATTCCCCATACGTGAATCGTTGTGGTACATCTTCGGGGTCATCACGCTCATAAATAATGGCCAACTTGTCCGGGTTATCGAGCGCGTGGCGGTCCACACAGTTATAGCAGGCGTTCAGCTTTCCACCAAGAAACCAGCCATGACTACCGTCTTCAAAGCTCCCATGGTGCACTGTGTCAAACAGAGCGTCCCATTTCAGACAGGCCGTGGCCATAGATGACCAGAACTGGTCCGGGCTTTCGATAGACTTCTGGTAAAGGTTTCGATACTCATTTTGGTCGCATAAATGAGGCACAGAAGGGTGCTTTCTATGAGTTGCAATCAGTACGGAGGGTTATAAACCTTTATATGTCTTGACGCACCGGAAATAGGCGCCAGGGACTGGGATCTGGTCAGATGGCGCATTGCCCCTTCCCTTTTCCCTCTGAAAAATGGTCATTTTCGTTTCAAGAGTTTATCGATTGGACAAAACCCATACGTTTGAACAAATTCCCTCCCTATGCTTACATGTTTTATAAGCATATGGTCTTCCTCACTCCGCTAGAGTTTGCAAGTACGTCACGATAAAGCCCTGCTCCGCTCGATGGGCAATGTTACACAGACTCAGATGCTGAATGCTGCCCATATGTACGGCAGACATGCGGTCTATAACCCACGTGTTACATAAAGTACCTAATCGGAGATATCCGTGAAGATTCATGCAGCCTGACGTTGAAACTAAGCTGGCTGATCCCGATACTCTCCGCCTTGGCTGTCACGATCGGCAGCCCTCACGGCTTCATTCAGCACTTTCCGCATAATCATAATACTGCATCCTGTGAATAATTGATGCAACTATGGATGAAAGTTTTCGAATGTATCTGTGTGTAACCTTCATTTTCGCGGAAAAAATGCTTGTCAACTTGTTACCTGCAAGGCTGCCTTCGATGGACTCTGAAATATCAAGATTACAGCAGGCCACGCTACTAAACAGGTCAAAGAAAGGCATGTATCACTCTTTAACTTTCGAGTACATTAAATCTTTGAGTATATTGCCTTGGCAATGACATTTCTTGTACTCAGTCCTGGCGATGTGCAACGCACAGGCTATTCTCAAGTGCATGACGAGTCAATATTAGGCCAAGACGCAAAATAACGATCGCAGGGAGACGGCAATGAAGAAGAGACGATGGCTGCAGAGTGGGAGGACATGCATAGACGCGCTACATGGAAACAGAAGGTTTCAGCCAGTCCAATGACGCTTAGACGCGAGGGCTGTAGTATATATAGTCCTAGATGGCGAAGAGACGAATAGAATCAGTCTGGAAAGTCCCGGAACTGCACCCTCTCTAACTTCAAACCATAGCCAACGTACCTCCTTTTCTACTCGAAACTCCCTTCTCAAAGCAACCATGTCCACCGTTCGCGCAGAAAGCACCTTTGCCTATCATGGCCTGGATACTGTCAAATTCACCGACACTGAAACTGAGGTTGTCAAGTCGTTGATAAGGAATTTTCTTGAGGATGTCAAGTTTGACCGGGCCAAGCCCCTGATCAAGGACCCCGAGCTAGAAGCGGCCGTCTGGACATACTTCAAGTCCCAGAACCTGGGGCAGAAGACGGAGAAGGCCGTGCACGACGTGCTCAAGTTGTCCACCACCCTGACACTCCAGGCCTACACGTCGCTGCCGTTTGAGAACAAGGTTCTCTGCGCCGTTCAATTTCTCTACATGTTTTTGGTGGACGATATAGCGCTATCATTCTTGGAGGAGCTCCGTCACTTCTGTCAAAAGTAAGCTTCTATTTACTTTTCGGTTTCTTCTTAAGAATTCTTCCTGATAGGGCCATACAGCTTCACGCTCAACAACGATCACCGGCAGCCTCTTCTTAATGGCTTCGACAAGCACCTCCGGTATCTTGGGCGTTATTACGGGCCCTATTGTCACTCCACCATCATCAAGTCCGCCTTCGACTACATCAACGGCCGCATCATCGAGCATGAGATGGAGCAGGCTAACTTCATTTTCTCTTCTCAAACCCGGCTAATGCCCATGTTCTTACGTACCAAGGTCGGGGCTGCTGAGATCCTCAACTCATTACTCTGGCCCAAGGCCTTGTTTCCAGAAGATAAATATCTCCTCCAGTTTCTCCCTATTGTGCAGGAGCTCGTGCTGTTTACGGATTTCACCAACGATATTCTATCCTACTACAAGGAATTTGTCATCAACCAGGAGAGAGGCAACTTTGTGGCGAATTTCTCGAAGACACATGGCATGTCTCATCTGGATGTCTTGAGGAAGTTGACTATTTACACTCCCCAGGTAGTAGGCTCTGTGTATGAGGTACTGGAAGGCAAAAAGGAGATGCGGAAGACAGTGCAGAACTTTATCAATGGCTGGATCTCTCTGTGCACTTCTCATCCACGCTACCATTTGGTAGAGCTGTTTGCAGATGAGGGCTATCTGCCTCCGTATAGCGATGATTCATGAGTTGATTATTGTATTTAGTTGGAGGCTTGCAATGCACCTTATATTTCGAATTTCTTTTAGATCTACCACAATGCTACAAAGGTTTTGCAAGACTGCCGGGGAGGCCAGATTCAGTGACGATACATGTAAAACACAATATCACACATAGTGGGAAACCGAGCCTAATGGGACCTAAGTGAACATTGGCACCTCCGCGATCTCTTCTCTGAGATTCGGGATTGTCACCCTCCACATCAGTATCCGGACTTGCTTACAGCTCTCGCTGCATGCCTTGCGTAGTCCGATACAGCCCGAGTAGGCAGGCTGATTTTACTGTGGGGTGGTAAAGCGAACCTTGCAATGTCTTGGATATCAAGTCTAACGAGGGAAGCTTTCACCGCTGTTTCAGATCCGATTTGTTGATCGATATCAAACTTTTGCTTTTGCATTCGTTCTTTGATCAACCGGTGCCTCGTGCATTGACCCCTTCACCTTTCTTGAATGTGGACCTGTGGTCGTGTTATCAGAGACTTACGGAGTTTAATGAGACGGTTATGGATTAAATAAATGGAAGATATTTGATGCCAGATAAGGTCTATTCCAGAAGATGGGGCTGATCGTGGCTGTTCCAGGCCCCGATCCCTCTCATTCACAACAGTCCAGCGCTGCGGTGCTCTTCGCGCAGCTACTGTAAATTCTAGTCTTCAGAGGGCCTGCATCTCGGTCAATTATGTGTCAACATGAACAAAACTTAAGTTTATGCATGTATGCAAGTATCAGTGCACAGAAGAACCGGGATTGGAACAACACTCGGCCGCGGGAAAGAGGGAAGTTGACTTGGCAGCTCTGAGACAGTACAAACAATTGCATCATCTTACATCCAATTTGAGAAAATAGGGCTCTAGATCAGTGGTTCCCCATCTCTCTACCTAGACAGAGCGAGCAGCGGAAATAACTGCCACGCGTTGTGGGTGCTGATCGGTTACACGCATTTTCGCCTTCAATGACTATATAGTAGCTCCTGTGTAGGCAACTGCAGAGATTGGCTCTGAGTTTCTCATTTATGATTAATTAAGTTTATCCATCTGTGTGAGGGACGAGCGTATCTGTTCCCGTTATACAAGGCAATTCATCGTTTTCCACTTCTTCCACGGTGGTTTTTATAGCAACATTAGTTGGAATATTGTCCCCCTTATGTCCAGAACCATGGCCGATAGGGAAACATTCCTGGCAGTCCTCCCCTCCGTATTGACTGATCTTGAGCAAGATCTCACTCGGAAAGGAATGCCCAAAGCCCTCACAGATCGCTTCCTGGCTGTAAGTCTCCATACATACTGCTTGCTCCATTAGAACGGGCTAACTGACTTAGTGTCTGCAAGCCAACGTCCAAGGAGGGAAACTCAACCGTGGCCTTATCGTCCTCAACACCGGCCATGTCCTGCTACACCGTCCTTTGACCGCGATCGAAATTCGGCACCTTAGTATTCTAGGTTGGCTTATTGAGTTCTTTCAGGCCTCGTATCTGATTTGGGACGATATCATGGACGCCTCCGAGTACCGCCGGGGCCAGCCTTGCTGGTACCGCCGGGAAGGTGTCGGGCTCAGTGCCGTCAACGACGGATGTCTAGTCAAGTCGTCCATAATAGTCATCCTGCATCAGTACTTTGGCAATCGTCCAGAATACGGTCAGTTGGTGGAGCTATTCCACGAGGCTTCGTTCCGAACGGAGCTGGGCCAACTCGCTGATATGGCGACTAGCGATGAATGCGAACTTGCCGAGATGACGATGGAGCGGTATGAGTTCATATCGGAGAACAAGACTGCATTCTATAGCTTCTACCTCCCCGTCGCGCTGGCCCTGCAGTACCTCCAGCGTACGACTGAGCAGGATCTAGCAATTGCACGGGAACTTCTACTTTGTGTGGGATGGTATTTCCAGGTCCAGGATGATTACCTTGATGTGTTTGGGGACCCAAAGGTTACGGGCAAGGTTGGGACAGACATCCGAGACAACAAGTGCTCGTGGATAGCCCTGAGGGCCTTTGAGCTCTGTAGCTCCGAGCAGAAGGCTGTTCTCAGTCTCTGCTACGGAAGACCGGACATGGGGAAAGCAGCCAGGGCGAAAGAGGTCTTCTGCCAGGTAGATATTGAGGGCGTGTTTAGGAACTATGAGGTGGCCGAGTTGGACAATCTTGAGAAGCGGATCGAGCAAATTGCAGGAGAGCATGAGCCCCTCCAGGATGTTTTCTGGTCAGTCCTGGAGAAGATTTCACAACGGGATAAGTGAGTGTTGGATTATTGTCGGGATGCATAGTTAGTTATTGTTGTGTATTGATGCCTGGATAATGAGGCATTCACTCTCGTTTGTAGTCTTGATCGCTCTCCCTCTTCCTAATACAACTCTCTCCTCTCTGCTTCTTTGGATCTTACACCGTAGGATCTAACATATATTCACCTGGTATTTATTAACTAGCGTCTTTCGTACCTTAGAGAGATCTACCGAGCCTATATCAATACTGAGTAGGGTGCTCTTAGCCTTCTTGTCCTATGCCGGGGAAATATTACTTATTTCTTGTATCAAATGTTTACGTGGTAGTTCGTGAATCTTACCTACTCGTATAGACACATTCAATGTCGGTAAATGTGACCAGCCGCTGGTGCGGGCTATTCGAGAAACATTTGAACAGGTAAACTATTTTTGGTACCAAGGGATTAGAAAGCAAAACTCTTATCTGCTAGCAGTGATCTCAATGACGAAATTTTATTAGGTACGTGCATACTCCTAGTTACACAACATGTTGCATGGGCTATACAGTATGGGTGTGGGGCACCACGTGATCTATACATAAGGTTCCAAGGTTCTTCAATGGGCCCACTTTTTATACTAAGGTGTCCAATCAGGCAGTTACCTAGGTTTCTTGGTGGTGCCAATGTGGTTGTCCTCTTGGATACACGGAACCGTCTATGATGTCCCAGATCAAGTACGTGCATATGTAGTATCTCGGTCACCTAACTGGGTAAATTACTGATCACTAAGCGGTGGCCGTATCAATCACCGTCAGGCCTCGGTTGAGCTTCCCGCCGTTAAGTTGTTTCACGTAGAAACATTGAGGGAAAGTGCTGCGACCTTACATATGCTATGCGCGCGTTGTTCGGAACCGTACCCAGCTAAGTACCTAGATAAGTACACCTAACAATTCAATATTGATCGCACTTTCTAGCATATGGAATGAGTTACCAGATTCCTTAAACATTTAAAATTCAATATTTCATTGACAGGTTCGCATTCGCTCCTTCTACATCGCTCGCAATTCCTAGTCATATATTAAAGTCCTCACTTACGCATCTACTCTACCACCAATCTAAGGGCGACCATGAAGAACATTTAACTAGGACTCTTCTACGTTCTGAACCTTCGACTGCCGGTAAGACAAACTCAGTATTGCCATATGGCGTCATCGCTCTTCGTCACTTAGCTACGGCTTGTTAAACTGTTGTCGGATCTTGGCTATCTCCCAGTTCGCGACATTGCATGTTCGCTTGTCGCTTGATCTTCACGCTAAATGGCAGGAGCCGTCTTCACCTTAGGAAGATACGGTTTCCGCTTCTTTGTTTGATTGTTTTCCGTAATTTAGGCTCTTGGGTTGAAAATGCTCGTCGCCGGAATCAAACCTGGGGTGCGCACGTGTATCAACGTGATCGAAACGTGCTGGTAGAGCTTGTTGGGACACCTTCTTACTTGGCCGTAAAGGTAGCCAGTGAAACTCAACTTCCATCGATGTATTTGCATCATTCTCGAATCCTTGGTATGGGAGAAAGCCGAGGCAATGCCATCGTTTGGAGACCTATCACCAGGTCTAGTCGGTGGTATCTTGGTTCTACCTTAGCCTTTGGGGTTACTTGGCTAATCCCCAGAAAGCGCATAACCCATCTCTGGATATGGTTCAGGATCGATTATTACGCGGTCGCAGAAATGTGCCTGAGGATAATTGGCTTGTCGTGATCAATATGGATGGATGGATCCGACCTCTTACATAACGTTGGTAGCATCCATGGATAACTAGTTACCAATGAGCCTCCTCCAGTACTCACGTCCAGGTTGCCAGCAAATATGCCATTTTCCTTATTCGTATTACTATGTGTAGCCTGGCTCTAGACATAGGAAGGAGTGGATGAGATAAGAAATATGGGATGGGAAAGAAAAGGAAACAGACGATATACTACTACTACTCGAGGTAAGTACGAGTATATTATATATATGCGTATATATATGCCAAGGTACTTTCCTTACGAGAAATGGAAGGAACCAAGAGGGTTTTTTTTTTGCTATACGTTAAATAATATCAAACATATACTAGTTAGTTATATATTCCTTAGTTATTGTATGTAGTAACTACTTAACTAGGTACCTAGGTAGTTACATAAATCGACATGATGTGCTTTTCAACGGGGCTGCAGGATGCGCCAAGACCGCCACCACACCATGCAAGTTTATTTTCAGGAAAATGAAAATCCTCGAAAATCCTCATTTTCCTTCATCAGACATTATTTTGCTCCATTTTTCAACAGCCCGGCCGGGCTAGCTCAATCGGTAGAGCGTAAGACTCTTAATCTTAAGGCTGCGGGTTCGACCCCCGCGTTCGGCTATTCCTAAAATCCAAACCTAAGATTTCTTTTTTTTGCCGTTTGCTTTTTTGGTCATTATAGTGCTGAAGTGATGGGGTTTTTTTAAGACACGGAGACACGGAGAATGATGTTTGAGTATAGAGTTCTAGATGTTCTTTTTGTATGTATTTTTAGTTGTCTTTTTTGCGTGTATACAAAGAAGTTAAAACACATAAACCGTGCAGAGGACTTCTCTATGCGTAACTAGGGAATTCGTCTGCCGCATTCCTTTGTGGCTTCTGAGACATTGTAATTCATTTGATCTAGTCTTCGTTTCTTTGCTTCTTTATCCCATAAAGCTACCGGTGAACTATATAAATGGCTGCATGGTACTCGTAGTATGTAGTTTCATCTTATGTAGTTTCATCTGTCATTAGCATCTCAGTTGACCAGTACTTGAGATCCCTCCTTGTTTACTCTCCAAGACGTGGATACGGGCTTCAAAGCTTTGGCAGAGCCGTGAAGAAGGGATCACCGAAAGGTCTTCGAGCCGTTGGCAAAGTCGTGATGAGCGGATCATTTGCTTTGGCGTGTGGGTGTTTGGGGCTGTGTGTGCTAGCGATACTTGTTGTGTGGAGTGTCTGCCACATTGTCGTTAACATTCCTGTTCCACTGCTAGATCTTGTGGAAAGCATTTGCTGCTGTGCCTTTCATTCTTTCAGTGATTAGTGAAATTGCGATCCATCATCCCTGGCATGATATCTATAGTGGATATATAAACAAGTTCATCTAAAATACGAAAGAATTCCCCAAATATAGAACTATATAGTGAAGCCATTGATTGTATATATCATAAAAAGAACCAACGCCCGATGCTATGCACATATCACCGTAAAGCAAGGTGCTCGAACGCCAGAACATCAAGATTTAGAAAAGGGTGCAAGTGAAAGTAGACGGGTGGATGACCAAAAGATGCAAGGAAGATAGATGTGCAGGCACCGTGTGTGGATAAAAATAAATATCCCCACCCCAACAATTAAAACTCAAGTCAAGAACTTGGCTGTAGATTCCCCGTATAGACACCTTCGAAATCGAGATTCGCAAGCATGCCACTGACGTGATCGATCTCACGGCTCAAGTCCTCGACGTTCATCGCTAGACTGCTGACTTCATCGAATTTCCGCCGCCGATTGGCATCGGCGATCATCTCAGACACGAAGAATTTCTGCTCTTCCAACACGATCAGCCGGTCTCGAAGAGACTTTTCTTCTGCTTCCAGAGCTGAGACGGCACTGTTGGTGTCGCTGGATAAGCTGCTATTGCTACCGCTAGCGGCAGCGCTGTTGCACTTGATGGATGCAAGAGCAGACTCTGGCGGCCGGAGACCCGCCGAGGAGCCATTGACTGGAGTACCCGGGGAGCTTGTCCGGCTGGGTATTCTCTCTAACGCCGGGGTTGCATGCTTGAGGATTTTGGGGAGGGATTTCAGAGGTAACATATGGAGGTGAAGGAAATTGCTAGCTTGTTGATATATAGCCTTCTGCAGCTTTTGTTGTGTGGGGGACTGAGTCGGCATGTCACGGATACGTCGAGCTGCAACATCATACTGTGCAAAAGAATCAATCAGTCGCTTGCGCACCTTGGATGCATCTGCAATCTGGGCCGATGATGGAGGTCGCCTCGGATCCCTAGTACAATGCCATTAGTAACTGACTGGAACACCGGGAACCAAAAACATACTGTAAGGTCGTCAAAAGCTTTTGGAATCTAGGTAGATGAAGGCGGATGCCCCTCTCAAACTGGGTCAAGTTTTCATAAGCCTTGATCTCCGGCGGCTTTCGCGTCATGTCTGCTCTAAAATCGCGTCGATCAAACAACGTCGCTTTACATTCCTTGCACAGCCTCACATCAATGTTGACAAGGTCATCGCCATTGCTTTTCTCGGAGGTGGCTGTCGAGCCTATTAGAAATTAAATCAAAGCTACGAAAGGAAGGTCGTCTCGGAACTCACCAGGAGAAATGCTCAGCGCAACCTCACTAGAGCACTCGGTACTAGGATCACCGCAGACGACTCGTCCACAAGTTCTGCAGTGGTGCCTGCGAAATGTATAGCCCGAAAAATCCTGTTGGCAAAATGGACATCGTGAAACACTGGCATCATCCTGCCAGCTAACAATCGTTTGCTCTATTTCCTTCCGTTGATCATTCTGCCAGGCAAGAGACCAAAGCTTGGTTGCACTGGGATGTATTTGATCCGGTGGCAGACTAGCCAACAGCTGAGTGAGACGGGTTAGTCGTTTCTCGAGTCGGGAAACCTCCAAAAATTCCTTATCGACAGTTTGTTTTCTTATTGACTTGAATGCATCCATTTGGTTCCTCACGGTTCCTGTTGCTTTTTTTTAGCTGGGTTCACGACCGCAAAGCCGATGTTCTCACCATTATGATCATTGTATCCCTCTCTTGACTTGTAGCAGGTTTCGCATACTCGAGCCCATATTCCTCGCACTGGTTCGTGATGTGCCGCTCGCGAGAGCTTCATTTGATACATTGTGTGTTCTTCACAAAACAGTCTCCCGCAACTCCGACAGTTCACACAGCCGTTGGTGGCATTCAATCGTTTCCCACAAGATGGTTCCAGACACTCGTCGTACATACAACTTGTTTGCCAGTGGTCTTTTGTTATGAGATCCTCGGGGTCTAGTATTTTCGGAGGTTCGGGGATGTCTGCATGGTGTGCTAGCGGGCGGCTGGGGAGAGGCGCGCCCTGGTTCTCGTTTGATTCAAACACATCCAGGCCTTTCAACTTCTGGTTTAAGACTGCCAATGGCTGGAACTTCCTTGCCTTTTCCATTTGGACCTTAAACCAGTCTTTGACTTCATCTTGGTGGCTATCTTCCAGGTTCTGATGGATATCGTCGAGATGTCTGCGTTGAATCGTTAATCATACGTTCAGGCGGGCATGAGCGGGGACGGTGAATCGGTACCTATTTAATTGCAGCAGAGTCATCTAAATATACAGTCAGTTATCATCTCATTCGACCTTTAATAAACAAATAGGGCGGAGCAAGCATACCATCTGTTCGCTGCAGATCGGACAGGAGAGCTGAGCCCCCGGAGCAGCGGGGGCGGCAGATATCGAAGTGTCGCCATTCTCTATTGAAATGCGTGAAGTAAGATCCTGAGTTTCTGTCGAGAGTTGTGATGCGGCCTGTGAATTAAGGGAAACGCTGCTGGTGGTCGGCGAGAGCACCCGTGGCTTCGGCTGCGGGGACGGAGCTGATGTGAGCGCGCTTGGGTTGCCCAGAACACGACCTCCACCCAGCGTCCTCCGCGACATGATCACGGGGGCATGAGAAGCTGGAGTAGAAGCTGTTTCAGCACAACATCCGTTGGCTGTACAGAATAAAGGGTCCTTGGAGGTGACCGGAGGGAAGTGCCAGTTATGATGTGGAGCCACATGCTGACCAGCATGTGGCTCTAGGGGCCGCCTAAGGCATCATTGCCAAGAGTTCTCAGTGAGTTTTGATATTCGTAGATTTCGTAGATTTCATGGATTTTATAGATGATATTATTCATAGAGGATACTATTTTCATTAATTTGATTTATTTTATATATTAACTGGCTCGTAATATCATCTATCCCCCGTTTTAACACCCATTTCAAAAGCTAAGCTTATATAGTATCGTTGCCCAAGAGTATATACTCGGTAGCATATCATAGTTACAACTCACGATATACGAAAGAACAAAGAAATCTTTTAAATATTTGCCTAATTTGTTTCATTTGCTGTCTGATTTGAATTGAAGCCATACCTTCGCCAACAATGAAACCAGACTAGTCAAGCTAAGGAGAAACGACAGACTGAAACGAGACTTGAAACGACAGACTGGAAACGATAGCTATATAATACATGTAATCGCTGAAAACACAAGACAACAAATTAGGCACTTTTTTTTGCTTTTTGACGATTTTCATCTTTTTTTTTGCCTTTTCATCTGTTTTTGCGTTTCGGGGTTCATGGTCTCATACCGATTATATACAAGCCTGGGTCCAAACCCAACGTAGATCCAAATCATGAGCGCGTTTATCGCTCGTAGTCACGGTGGTAGCTGGTACCAGTGTTTGGATTGTCGTATTCCTTGTGGACGCGAGTAGATCCATCATCAAAGCGGTCAACGTCGCGGTGTCGATAGGTGCCAGCGTTGTTAACGCGCTCACGGTGGTGTCGACGGCCAGTGGGGGTGCTGTAATCAAGATGCTGGTCGTAGGCACCGGTGGCAGGGTCGTATGAGGTGGTGCCGCGGCCGGTGTCAGTATCATAAGTCGTAGCAGTTGCATTTGAACCGTAGCCCACTGTGCCAGCGCCAAGGCTATAGTCCCTCGTACCGTAGGTGTTGTAGCCTGTGGGGCTGTATGTCGAAGCCAGACTAGATCCCGTAGGGTTGTAGGTTGATCCTGCGGTATCGTAGGTATCGTAGGTCGTAGACCAGGTGTCTCCGTAGTTGGTCATCTTGACGATGTGTTCTCAAAAGAGAGAGAGATTATTATTCTTTTGTTGTGTTCGTTGATTGATTGTTTGTTTTTTGGAAAGTAAAATGCACAAGGTCAGTCTCATTCTTTATATCCTTGTCGTGGCGTTGAATCTCAGGAGGATGATACTGGCCTGACATCACTTGGGCGACCATGGAGAATTCGCCAAGTGAGGCAATGCGGCTGAATGGGAAAAGAAGCTAAAGATATAAATCGAACATCTTTGGAAATAGCTCTCATTGATCCAATTTTTCTGGGGCATCGGTTCCAGACTGTTGCCTCAGAAGGCGGGATGATGTTGTATACTTCTATACCACACAGAATCGACAGATGATTACATTGAACCCCACAAGTGCCAGATCTTCAGGAATTTCTGTAGATTTCCAGAATGATACCATGAATTTAATTCGACTCGAGAGAGTTCTGTTCATTTCGTTTTACCAAAATAGGTGGATGGTTTGAATCGAGACCGCAGCCAGACCATAGGATTAGCTCAAAACATCAGGTGGAGTTCGATATCCTCGAGATCGTCGCTTGAATAGACATAGTTATTGGTGCAATTTGGATAATGCCAGAGAAAAGAGTAAATAACAAGAACGCTACCTATGCAGTCAATACTAGGAAAGAATAACAATTAGACATCATAGACACACATCGGAGCGCTTCAATTATACTATGTTTTACAACCTTTAGGTTGGCTCTATGTTGATGTCGACTCTCACCTAGCCACAGTTACACTTAGCTATCCCGACCGAGAGGGACCAATGAATCCGACAGGAATTCAGTGGCGTTCATCAGGTCTGTGCTTCCATAGACAACTCTGCGCCGGTGTCCAGGTGCCGCACGTTGAGCTGGCACACCTTCGGCGCCCGGTTGGCCATTTGTTCGGCGAACCCATTCCTGCAAGTTGCCATACTCATCCATGCTTCCACCACCAACTGTAAAGACAATAGCCTCGCTGAAAGCTTGACGACGTTGTCCGAAACTGGCACCGGTGCCAGGGCCTGCGCTACCAATTCCACCAGGCATCTGCGGGTTCCGCGATGCGGATGCTGGAGGCATGGCGCCACGTGCGTTGGCGCTCCTCGGGTCAAAGTAGAGGTAGTTTTCGGTCTTGGCAATAGCAGAGCTTGAAGCTGCAGCCGGGTCCATGATCGACTCGGTGATCTTGGTTACAGTAAGGTCCTTATTCGCTGGTAGGAAATTCTTTACCCCTGAAATGAGCGAGTCGAAGTTGGCGCCTAACGCGCCCGAGGTGATGCGATCCGTCAGACGATTTGAAAGCGAGGAGAACCCACGGAATAGATCGGAGGATTGTTGTTCTGGAGCGGCTGTTGTCATCATGGTCATACGGGTGATCTCGCGCACTTGGCGAACATAAGCAAGAGAGGAAATATCGGTCACGCCGGCTTGGGTAAGGGCTTCTTCGAACTGAGTCATTTCCGAGCGGCTGAGTTCAGTTTCAGTGCTGAGGAACCAGATCACGAACAAGCGCAGCTTGTCCAATGGTTCACTTCCTTTAGAAGCATCATTGATTAACTCCAAGATCTGTGACTTTGATTGTTTGGTAATGGTCTCTTCCAGCTCGAAGAAGTTGTCCAACTGCCGGTCCTTGATACCCTTGAGCAGTGCGGTGGCAATGTTCATGTGCATATCAAGAACTGCCTTGCGTTCCCGCAACTCGGGGAGAAGAGTGATGGCGGCCTTGAGATGTTGCGCGGAGGCACTGGTATCATTCTGGAGATCTTCAATTGAAGAGGCTCCCGTCTTCTTTGTAATCTCATTCGCATCATCCTTGTACCGTGTAAGCTCAGCATCGATATCCTCAGCCACTTGGGGGAAGGGGGCCCCGGCGTTGCGTTGCCAGAAGAAGTCGGTACTGTTCAAGTCATATGACTTTTTGGAGCCCTTGGCAGAGTCCGCATCGCCCGCACCTGCATCCACAGTGATTCGATTCAAACGCATTTCAAGAACATCCTGGACCAGGGATTGATATGTCCACGAGTGGGAGAGCATTGGGACTAGATCAACGTTTCGATCCATAATGATTAGTACCGGCCGTGCGGATGGCACTCCCGGCAAAGCGTTTTGATTGCCCGAGAAGAGGTTGTCTTTAGAATTGAGGATGTGGTCCCGCAGTTTCCGGTCCAGTTTTGTTGCTATCAATTCCGCCGCACCACCCTTGGGGCACCGTATGATTGGAATAGTACCTGTCCAGCCAGTCAGATTTTCGTTCAATGACCCAAGGTAGGATATAATACTTACCCATTGTCACACTCACACTGAACAACCCGCTAACCACATTATCAACGATCCCATCCAGGTCTTCATCAGTCGTTTTTGGGCTGTTGATCTTGTAGTATGCATCGTTTCCAAGCCCTAGACTGAAGAGGTCTGGCTCTGCCACAACAAAGTTGAGATATTGATCGAAAACCTGCGCAATATGCTCAGATGCGCCAGAAGTAGCTATTTGAGAAGCGAAGTCCTCGAGCAGTGGCCGCGGGACGGAGGATAGGAAGTTCACATAGGCTGGGGAGTAGAGCCCGTGGGAAAGGTCACGAGTGATCGCTTGGATATTGTCGGGGGTTGGTTCCACAAGATATACGACTGGGACATCTGGGATAGGGTATCTTTGTGAATGAAGGTTTCTAGGAGTGAGTCTTCGTTAGCGATGGGTCCATTTAGGGGGAGAGGGGAGGCGGCAACCGTACAGATGAATAGTTATGCCCCATGCCCGGAGGTCATTTACCCTCAGGACACTGCTGATGACATCCCGGCCCATTTTATCGAACACCAAGACTTTCCAGATCGGGTCACCATCTTCATTCAAGATCGGAGTGGAGTGCGAGATAAGACCGCCGGACCCTGACTGATCGATAGTGTTGTCTTCAACAGGTTGTGGATCATGATTCAAGTTCAATAGCTTTTGAATTGATGCTAAAAGCCGGGGGGTATTAGTAAAGGCCAATTCATCAGAAGAACCCAGCTTGCGTCACCTACCGACCTGTCGGTCCCGGAGGGACATGGACTGCGCCATGGCAATGGCTGGTAACGCTGTGTGAGATTGGAGAAATGCTCGGTTTCAACCAAAGCTTGACAATGTATGAAGCTGCGCAGGAAGATAGCCGAAATATGCGCGCAACTCTTAAGGATGATGAGATTGTACCTTACACTGTTGACACCGGGGATCTTGCTATCGCTCCACCTGGCATGGATCCCGCTGCGCTGCGCTGACATAAATGTTGCAAACGCTCCAAACAGAAGGATCACATGGATTTGATTCTGCCATGTAACAAAGGGGCTGTATTTTACATGGCGGTAGGCCAATGGAGGTCCTCCAATATTATAATTACGGTCAATTGCGGTATGCCATAGTACCATCGGTTAACCGCCTTGCCAACAGCTTTTGTCCCTTTTACTCTCTCTCTTCAACCCAAGTCATCTACTCTAACCATCCCTCAACACCTTCCCCCAATCCCGTCTTTTTTTTCCGTAAAGCGAATGGCTGCGACGATAGAGTGGCCCTTCGTATGAGAGCTTTTTTCTTCTGTGATTCCGCAAGGACTTTCTTTTGGGACAAAACTTAAGAACGAGAAAGGAGAGCGAAAAGCCCAGGGACAACAGGAACAGCCCAAGAAGAGAGAAAGAAGGAGATACAAAGTGAAGGACACAAGGAGAGAGGTGCCGGAGTTGAAAAAGCTGGGCCATCTTAATACTTCTACGTTGTATTCGCAACTGCGGAGCCTTCGTCATTAAGCTGCAAGACCAAAGGGTAACGCCGTCACTTGCAGTACTGGGGAAACAGAGTTGATGCCTGAGGCATACATCACTTTAATCCTGAGTCAAAGCTAAAAGCAGTCTCTGTTTTCTCTCATAAGGTACGACAGTACTCATACTGCAACTCTTCAAGTCCATTCTAGGCGTATCAAACATGTGAATTGTCTAATCCTTATCAATTCTTCAGACCAGCAGCTCTACAGGCCCCTGTTCTGCCGTGTCGTGAGACAACCATCCAATCATCTTACGTCCTCACCGGAAAAAATATTTACCCCGCCGAACCCTCCGACCCACTTACTTCCCCCAAAATAAAAGGCGGTGAGCGAAAAATAAACTCCAGGCTTGTCCAGGCAAGGTGCGTGCACGTGATTACGTGAGGTTTCATAGTAGCTTAGAGAAGCTTCGACTGAGGCTCACATCATGGAGCAATCAGCTCAGAACCCTATGCAGGGGTTACCTCATGGGAATTCCTCACTACCTACAGATTACTGGAGCACGCTTGATCCCGCCTATCCTGATCCCGAACAGCAGCTTCAGCAGCCATCTCAACAGCAACATGATTCTGCATCGCAACCAACACCTCTTGGCATCGGATGGGACCATCCTGTTTTTCAACAGCAACAGAGAGAGCTAGCCCCACGACCGGAACCTAACCATGGCATCTACTCGTCAGTGCATCAACCATGGCAGCAAACAAATCCTCTGCAACAGCCACCGCAACGAGGATATGGAGCTTCGCCCCAGTATCAAATACATCCACAAGCTGCCCAATTCCAGCAAGGGCAGATGTCCTTTGACTCTCGTCCTTTGAGTGCCTCCGAATCTTCGGCATTTCCGTCATTTTCATACCAGCCAAATTACTTCCATCCACAACACCCGCACATCTCAGTGCCAGACACTTTCCCCGAAGCACCTACGCAGCAGAGGATACAGCCACCATCACAGCAACAGCCTCAGCCATCAATTTCTTCATACCCTTTACCTCAAGGCTACTCCTCAGAAATGCTGGTAAGATGACCTGAAATGCCCTTCATGATGACCATGGCTCTAATCCTAGGCAGCAAAACACCATTGATTTGACCAACGATTACCCGGATTCAGACCCAAGTGTCACCATTAACCCCCAGTTCCTTAATTCCACCCCGCAGGCATTCAATCAACAGCAGTCTTCGTTGGCAAACAACTTTCTTCAGGGAATCCCTGCGGACTTCCAACGACAAGGGAGTGAACAGTAAGCTATCACTTGAATTTGTGTTTATTCAAAATACATCGGCTAATTTTCCGAAGGGCCAGGCTGTTCAATTACTACCAACATGATCTTTCAGTTCAGTCGCAAATGGCACCAACTGGCAACCAGGTGCCTCCCCCTAGAGGTATGTCCAGACCAGCTGAAATCCATTGCATTAGAATTTAACACTGACTTCCCTAGGATTACCAGTACCGCAGGTTGTAATCACCAACAAGAAGGAAGCTCATAACAAGCAGCAAATGAAGATAACTTCTGCACATGGCCAACCGAGAACTGTGTCTAAATCAGAAAGTGAAAGTTCGGATGAATCCGATCTTGAGATCGAAGCACCCGACGAGCCGTCGCCTATCCCTCCGATCCGTCCGACTGAGCCCGAGGCTGCAGCCCAATACGATACCCTCCAAGCTGTATGGTCACCAAGGAACAAATGGCCTGGTCCTGAGAAGGTCAAGAATGCGCTTGTAGCCTACAAAGAACTTGTCAAATCATTGAGAGATGCATGGAAGGAACAAGTTCAGGCGATGAAACTAGCAGAAAACCAAGACGACAACCAAAAAGCAACCAAGCTTAAAGAAAGGGTCATTCTGCAACGTCGAACTATGGACAAAATTGCGACCACAACACTGGAAATGGGTCATCCCAATATTGTTGACAAGTATGTATCCCTCTCCCCTATATCTCACCCCGCCCCCTCCCCTCTATCTGGCTATGATGGTCACACAAATTCTCAAACTATTTGAGTACATCTATAAATATTCTTGGAAGCACTGGATATCACAGCACTGTCACGGGCTAGAATAAAGGGCCATCGCTCCATTCGCCGGTGGCAAGGCTTGATTATACATGCGTGTCCTGGGCACATATATAAGAATACTAGATGGAGCAAAATGGTCCCTATCATATTGAGTTCCAGATATGCCTTTAGAAGGCCATCTGTGAACCTCATTGAAGTGGAATCGCTTCTATCTAGAAATTGGCTTGAACTTCAAGCTTTGTGTGGCAAAAACTTGAAACATTGACATAATTGAGCTCAAATGACTGATTGTTAATTTCTGTAGGCTGGGAGAGCACCCTATGGTGGTGGCAGCTCTATATTCCTTCTTGGTCGACCGGTTCCAGGCAGCAGACTTTGCTGGGACTCTGACTATTAATTTGCTTGAGGTAGGTTTGATGTTTATCCTTGTGTCGAATCAATTGACTAACATGGAACAAGCTCTTCTCGCGTTTCTCGACTTTAACAGAAGACATGCTGCAAAAGACCAATCTTTCCAAGTTGCTGCCCAAGTTGCTCAAAAAGGTAGCCAGCAGGCTAAGGACCTCACACAAAAGATCTTGGACAATGCTGCGGCCTCTACGAAGCGTAAACAAGAGAGTGAAAAGCCCACCAAAGAAGAGAATCCAAAGGGCCCTTTAACGGATCAGCCTAAGGGAGACGCTGGAGCGAAGCGCCCCCGCGAGGCGGATAACAATATGCAACCTGGCGCAAAACGAATGGCAGTTGCCAACACCTTGAAGGATGCGAATAAACTTGCACCAGGAAATGGACCGGCTAAAGGAGCGCAGAGTAGTAAACCAACCGGTGCTGCAGTGCCGCGCCCTAAACCCAATATCATCGCTCCCAAACCAACAAGTCTCTTTGGCACTTTAAGCTCGGCGTCGAAGAGACCCGGGACTACAAATGCGGATAGGGCTGCTGCCGCGGCTGCAGCAAAGCCGCCACCGTATGTACCCATGAGGAGAGTGGTTCCGAGACTTACCTGTACTAACACTTCCAATAGTGCTGCTCCTGAAAAGGAAAAGACACCAGCCCCGAAACCAGCTTTCTCTTTTGGTGACATTATGGCCGACTTGAACAAGCCAAAGCAGGCACCAACTCCCAAGCCTGCCGAAGACCAGCCCCCGGAGACTGAAGCTGAGCGCACAAAGAGGTTGCATAAAGAAGAGCGCCGTAAACTTCGCGTGACCTGGAAGCCAGATGATGTTCTTACTGAGATACGACTATTCACCCACGATCCCGATGAAGAATTAGGTCCCGGCGACGGGTCCTTGCGTTCTCGGGGAGACGTTAAAGGTGAAGGTAGTGTTCTTAAGCTTCACAAAGATTTGGATGAACTGGAAGAAGAGGACCTTGGTGGTATTCGCGAAACTGTATTCCAAGATGGTTATACTATTTCGAGTAGGTTATTCCCCTAGATATACCTCGGATTATTACTGACTATCATAGCGATCGATTTCGATTTCGAGGAATCAAAAGACGGTAGTTTCGTCAAACGCGGCGGCCCCCAGCTGCCAACAAGCCCCGAGAGAGAAGCTCAAGAGCATCGGGAATCTACTACCCTGATGGTATTCTATACTTCTCCTGCCGACATGCCTGATACACCCAAGGAGCCACCGACTCCTGATCCCGACGAGATTGTTACCGAGGTATTGCCTTTCGGAGACTTGCCCGATATGGTCAAGGTATGCTATACTTCTTAAGAGTAGTATAATTCAATACTAACAAAGACACTACAGGTCCGCCAGGAACGTTATTACTCCTACATGAACCCCAAGCCTGCGACTCCCCAGCAAACTCAGCAACCGCAGCAACCTACTCCCGGAGAGAGTGGATTTGACATTTCCAATTTGCTCAAGATCATTCAGGGTGTGCCTGGACAGGCGCAGCCAATCCCACCGCCGCAGGCAACCCAACCCGGCGTCATGCCGGATCTCGAGAGGACTATCAACTTGTTCCGTCAGCAACAACCTCAATCTCAGGTCGCCCCGGCTCCACCAGTACCCACTCCTCAGCCTCAAGGCCTTGACTTCAATACGATCCTGAATGTCATGAAACAAATGCAGGCGCCACCTGCATACTCCCAGCCTCAGCAAACACAATCAGCAATGGCACCCAACCTCGGCGCCATGTTCGCCCAATTCGGTGGGCAGAATCAGCAAGCTGGTGCTCTCCCATTCCAACAGCACGGCCATGAATATGAAGACCCAGAGCGCAAGCGAGGCCGCGAGGGTTATTATGACGACCAATCTAACTCCGATTCGTGGAGCCGCTCGAAGCGGACAAGAGTTGGTGCCAACGAGACTAAGCCTGTAAGTAGAGTGCGGATTCAGCATTTTATCATGAACAATTTGCTAACTCTTTTGAAATAGTATAAGGTGGGACTCGTTGCCTGCAGATTCTGGGCTGAGGGCAAATGTCGCAAAGGCGACAATTGCACTTTCCGCCACGATCCTCTCTAAATCAACACCATGTATCGCCACATGCTTCCTTTTCGACAGATACCCTTGTACTGCTGTTTTCTACATTGGTACAATCTTCCTTTCTCCCATCTATGCATTACTACGTTATTCTATGGTTTCTTTTTTTTTTTTCATTTTTCATTTTTCTCTTTATCTTGTACTAGGTCATGAACATGCATTTTACAACTAGAACTCTCTCTAGTTGGCGTTCATCGGACGGTTGCGTTTCATGGTCTGGAAGGTCGGCACATATTGATTCGTCCTTTTTTAAATCTTTTGCATGCCCCCGGGTTCAGGCGTTTCCCTTTACTTTCCACTTGTCTCGCCTTTGTTCCTCGCTTCGCAGATGCATTTAGCGAAGATCTCCCATATCTGGGGGGCTGGTATCATCTCGCCTGATTGAGGGCGATGACAAAAATGTACAATTAGAACATCAATTATTATTATTATTTTTTTTTCACAGCCAAGAATATCTTCAGCTCAATAGTCTCTTCCATTTTTCATCTCTTTTAGTAGGAGGAAACGTTGGACCAATGATAGAGGTCCCCGATTCTCATAGAAACTCCCTCGGGGCCGCTTACAACATACGGAACTACCTAGGTAACCTTCCAAGGTTGGAACGGAAAACATCGGACTATATTGTACACATGCAAGCATGGATTCATCTCAGTCCCTACGAGATACCTGTGCTAATCCAGATTCTCTGTTTGCCCTTTCGGATGAGGACCTGATTCACCTCGTGTACAAAGAGTTTCCGGAGGAAATTGACCGTCTGCGACGGGCATACTCTATCCGAGATGGTCCCTGGACTCCTCCTGGCACTCCATCGCCATCCTACATTTTATATAACGAAGACTACGACGAAGTGAATCGCACACTTGTGGGGTTCCTAGCACTCCGCTGGATCCATACGGGGCAATACGAGACCTTCATCAGTTCACAGGAATCCGCATCTCAGCTAACAAGAGATTCGTTTGATTGGATCCACGGATTCTACACACACCTCATCACAGACGCCAACACACTCTTTGCCTTAATCACCTCAATAATCATCAACGACCTAGGCAAAGACCCACAGCTAGCATCCGACTGCTGCGCAAAGACAGGTGTGGACATCTCAACTCTCAACCACGACGCCATTCTCCTCGCGGCCTGTAACGCCGGCCTAGTCCCCTCGCTGGACAATCTCCCAGACCAAGATAGGGACGATGTTCTCCTGGCAATCAAGCTCGGCGCGACCTTCAATTTTGGCCAACTGGCCCAGGCAGAAAACGCCCCGGCCTGTCTGTCCGGTCTACCCCGCATGAAGGGCCACGACCGCAGCTTCCAACTCCGCTTCATGGAACAACTGCTCGATATCGCCGGTGCTGCGGGGCACATGGACTGGACGTGTGCGAAGAAACTCATCCAGCCTATCTTCGACTCCTATCGCAATGTCTACGATGTCTGCGAGGGTGTCATTTCAGGCACCCTGACCGTCCGCAGTGGGTATGACTTGATATTAATCCGACGTGCGGCGTTCCTGCGCGACAAGGACGTGCGGGGATTCCAAGTGGAAGAGAACCCGGGCGACCGGGCGTTAGTGCGGTTGTTCTGTATGGGCAATGTGACTACGCGGGAAAAGGCGCTTTTGTATGAGGATGCGTGGCGTGCGTTGGAGGACCCCGTTAGGGAGACTCTGGCAAATGCTCTCAATCTAGATGGTCGCAGGGGCGAGCCTGCTGTTCAGCCAACGTATATTCCTGCTCTACTTGGCCGTATACAGGATGTGAATGCATTGGTGTGTACCCTGCATTACCTTGCTCAGGTCATGAGTGCGACCGACATTGAAGACCCTTCCGCCGTGGTTATCGAGCGGAGTGTGTATCCGATTTTGAAACATTTTGTTGAGAGTGAGGAGTTTCTGGAAGATCCGACTATCTTGGAGAGGGTCGACATGCCTGATGGCGTGGTTGCTCTGAACACAGCCTCAATTTGATATATGTGTTATATAACAAGTTCACTTGTCGACAATTTAACAATTTGGTGAAAGTTTTTTACCATTTGCCTGATGTTCTTCTATCTACCATTAATCCTTGCCAGCAAAAAAACAGCAAAAAACAGCAAAAAGAAAGGTCGTGCCCGGGATCGAACCGGGATTGCTGGTATCAGAAACCAGAGTGATGAGCCATTACACTACACAACCGAAATTTTCGTTGTAAGGCATTCGAATGTTGACCCTATAAACCTATGTGGAAGACTAAAGTAGATGAGGATGAAGAAGTAGAAGAGGAAGTGGATGAGAGGAAAGGTGGGATCATGTGACACTGGGAGATATTCAAACTGCTTGAAGCGTACTAATAAAAAATGTTACATAACTACTACAATGGTACAATATTTGGATGTCTTTTCAATAAAAGTACAAGTAGACAATATATCCAAGTTTTAGGTACATTATCATGCCTTGGGTGTTCTCGGTCCAAGGTGAAGAGGAACAGTCCGATGATCCCAGTCCGTCACAGACGACGAGGAGGAGGAGGAGGAGGAAGAGAAGAAGAAGAAGAAGTAGAGGTAGAAGACTTCTTCTTTTTGAGCTCGACCAACTTCGCACGATTGACATCGCCTTGACTCGCCAAGCTGATCTTCAACCAGTCGTTACGTGTAGCCTGTCCTTCAAGCGAGCTGCGCATGCGAACAACACTCTCACGATACAGACAGTTATTCTCAAAGCGCCAGCTGCACAGCAGTACCCGGAGCATGCCACCTTCCCGCCCAGAGATCAAGGCCACGACAGGTGGTCGCTCGGCGGAAATCACCGATACAGTCATGTCGCCCGTGTCCACGATAGTGAAGATGCGGTGCGTTTTAGGGAGTCCTAGGTCTTGAAACTTATTTTTCCAATAGTTCTTTTCATTGGGTTCCTTGCTTTGTCGGATATGCTTGTACCGTAGGTCCTCAGTGAAGATAGTCGACGAGGCTGTATACGACAGGCGACCATTGAAATTACCATAGATGGTTTTTTCAAGGTCATGCAATGACATCGTGCCTTCGAATCCGATAAGATGGCTGGAGCATCCGCTATCGTTGCAGAGCTTCCGTACTGCCCAAGGACTGAACCAGGAGATCACCCAGGCGACTCCGAAGTACAAACCAACAGCCACTAGGTAATTAGGAACAATTGTTCCCCTAATAATTTCCATCACAGCAATTGTAGGTTGCTGTAGAGTTGATTGGAAATTAATGGTTGAAACCAGAAGCGCAATAGCGGATGTGAAGAGAGAAAAGCCAGCCGCTGCGTAAATGATAGCAGAATACATGATTTTCTGTGAGATCGAAGAACTTAGGCCCGTCAGATTCTTGGCATAATTCAATCTTGGGAAGCGCTTCCATCGGATGGGGATGCCCCGGCAGCGATCTACGATGACTGTGGGCTCGTATTTATCGTCACCAACACCAACCACATCACAGAGCGGTTTGATATCCCAAAGGTGAGTACCGTATTGATCCTGATCTGCGATATTGCGAAGAATGGTCTCAGTACCAGTTGGAGCGAATGTTGGCAATGTATCTTCTATGGGAGACGGAGACGGCCACAGACAGAGGAGACGCTCAAGTAGTTGATTGCTATCGTTCACGATGGATAGTCGAGCAATGGCTTGGAAGACGGTATCGGACTCATTGGGGGTAAGTCGATATGACAAAAGCCCCATCGCAGCGTAGGCCATATCCCTGGTCGTATACCCCTTGATGTCGACGCGAGTTGTTTGCTTTGCCATGGCTTGGACAGCAAAAGTGAACAACTGCAGCTCGCTCAGCTGAAGACTGTTGGTATAATGATTGATGAGGTGGCCTATGGCGTCTTCTTCGTTTTTATTCGAGTTTGACGAGTTTGAGTTGGAGGGCCGCCAGAAGCTAATTTTCATGTCATTCAACGTGAGTGCATGGGGCGTGAACAAAGACATAGAAGTCGAATGGGTGAAACAGTATCGGATTCTGTCGGCAGCGAGGAGGACTTCCGGAAATGTCCATATCCGTTCTCCCCATATTCTTTTGTCCTTCGCACTTTCAGTGGGCAGGACTACATATACTCGCTTTGCAGAGCGGACTGCATCACAAATCGTGTTGATATCTCTGGTGCATTCTGATTCGAAATCACCTGTTGGTACATTCTCATCTTTCGAAACACAATCGACGTCCACCCAAAATGCTAGGGGAGGGTCTTGTGGGTCTCTGTCAAGGTTCTCGTGCTGGATCATGCGCTCAGCCACTTGATACAACATCTTCCGTAATTCTTCTTTTTTTTCTCTTTTGTCCGGATAATTGGCCCGAGAAAAACTCAAGAAGATATAGGGTGGTAGCATGCCCGTCTTTTCATCGCGAAGATCATCAGTCTTCTTGGGAGTCCACTGATTGGTAATTTTGTCAAAGACCACCAAGCGGCTAGGGATCGTAAGACCGCCAATCTTTGACTGCCGTTGATGATTACCCGGAGCCTGATCCAGTCGATTCATTGCGTGTTTGGGCCAGTGCCAGTATAAATTCTGGTACTTTTTGTAGGGCTCAGTTGAGTCCTTCTCACTCCACGGGGAGGTACAAATATCGACAGAGAGCACAACTGGAATAATCCAAGATAGTACCAAGGTGAGCAGAAGCGATGTAATCCAGTGCAGTGTTGATACTGCCACGGTGCGCAGCATCAACGGGATCCAAGACGGGGTTTGTATGATGGTTTTCAATAACCAGTTTTCCTGTCTTCGAGGCCTATCATCCTCCTCTTCCTTGTATTTTGTGACTCGGACACCGTCGAAGCGGGGAAAGCCAAACGGGTTCAAGCAAAGTTCGGCCAGGGTTATGATGAATGGGACTCTCCCACGAATGCGGCGTCGCCCCCAGTGACGAGGGAGATTATCGGACCCGTCATAGATATCTGAAGTCGTCTGCACGACAAGTCGACGGGCATACCCTTTCTTTGTGCTGTAGTATGTGTCCATGTCGGTAAACTTTTTGTGATCTTCGACCGCATTAGGATTCAGATATGTTTTCTTGCCGTGTCCATGGCTAGCATCCTCCAGCTCCAGCAAGCGATCCTCGATTGTTTCCAAGTTGGCAGAAGGCCGTTCGAACCGCATTCCAGATGATCGATGGTGATGACCATCATATCGCTTTATGAGATTATCCCTTGCTTTTTTCTCCGTATCAGTCGGCTTCTTCCACCCGAAAAGAAAATAACGAGCCATTTTTGGCAATCGAGACTCGATCTCAGAGGGGGAAGTAGGAATTCTCGTGGGCGAGATCTCGAATCAGGTCATTCGCCCAGCAACGATATTGATAGTGGAGGGTATTAAGAATAGAAAATGGTAAAGCTGACTGATCTCTTTATTCCTAGAATATGAATCTATCCATGGATATTTATGGACTTCATTTCCACCCCTATAGATGGGCAATCTCGAGGCTCAATTGTGATGGGAGATATGGACTTGATTGGTTGAAAATGCCTCAAGACAGTCCGAATCGAAATGCATGCCTATGATACGACATGGTGTCACTATCTTTTATGCATGCCTAGGGGGCAGCAAACTATAAACGATGTCAGTTCGTATTCATGGCGCTAGTCTCGCAGAAAGAGCCTTGGCGAGTTGTAAGCTTTGCATTAGCGTTGGACACTGGCCAATTGCGAGTGCGCAATGTACCATTTTGTTTTTGTCAAGGGCGTTGGATAGATCCCATTGCTAAGTTGTCAAATAAATGGAGAGCAAGCACCTAGTTAGGTATGTTGTACGCACGTGGACAAGTTCTCATTTCCAAAGTAGTTGAGCCGTAGATTGCAGAGTTTTGACCCCTAAAGAGGGTTAATCGCAATCAAATGGGGAGGTGGCATCATGCCCTGGTGACCTGGTGAGGTACGGAGTAATCTGGAGTTGGGTACTTTATGAGTGACCCCTGTCATCTCTTTGCTTTTCTTGTCAGCCGCAGTTGCAGGGAGGACATGGGGGAGGGGCCAAAACTTCAGCCGCAGGAATGATGGCCGTATCAATAGCCTCTTTTTGGATCATGAGCAGCATCATTTTTTCCTCGAGCCATCTTCATACCATAATACTTCATAACACTATCCTATGTATCCCTGGAGTGAGAGCCTCAACTCTTGGGGTCGTGGAACGGGACTCAAGATTGATGCCCTCGGTCTTGCCACGCTCCTCGGAGCGGAGGAGATGGACCGCAGTATCGGGCGACTTGTGCCGAGCATATACCTCAAATACATGCCATTATTGGGTGCCTTTGTGATAGCTGGAAACCGATTCACCACGAAGAAACCCGGATTTGTTCTCTACAACATATCAGCGGGGATCATGACCACCGAGCTTGCCGGCTGGTTTTCGCGATGGCTCCAGACACAGGACTTCAAACAAGTCCGGAGTATTGTCACATGGCACGTCACAAAGCGGCCGCACAGATGGAGAGAGTTCATAGTCGGCTTCTTGCTCGTCGGCTTGCCGGTGCACGGGATGCTCATCGCCCTGACTGTGTTAACCGCGGACTGGTGGGGATTCGCCAATGTGATAGCCATGACCATTTCAGTGGCAGTGCGGTGTATAATGGTAGCACAAAACCAGGCCGGCATCGATGCGAATATCCAGAAAGCACAGGAAGAAGAAGAAGTCCAAGGTCACCCGGCTAAGAGAGCCAAGTATGACGAGTCAATGGAGAGACTCGAGAGCCATCGCCAGAAGGGTCAGGCCACTGAGGGGGCCAAAATGCCCATCGAGCCTAAAGACCCAAACAAAATTGCTAAGGTGATTGTGTTGACAGAGGACTCAAAGGTCGTCACTCTTGCAGCCCCGGCGTATCTACCGAAATTGGTATTTGCAACCAATCCCCAGCCACCGAACCGATACATATATCAGGCGTGTCAATGGATAGGCTGGACCACTTTTGCGGTGCATGTCATTAGTATCGGAATGGCGGCCTTGTACACACAAATTATCTCAGTGGTGGTGATTCTCGTTTCCACAGTCCTCATGGCTCACAGAGTTGGCTGTGAAGACTCCCGAATATGGGAATCCATCCGAAGTCACTGGGGCCACGAATTCGAAGAAAATAGCTGCTGGGTTAGCTCAAACCTCAAAGCCACCATATCTATATACCCCGAGGAGTATATGGATTGGCCTGAGTTGGAGGAAAAGAAACCCCTTACCATGCATGTAGGCAATGGGGAGAATATTGGTCAACAATGGACTAGCCCGATAGATCCATCCGACTTGGAATCTACTCCGATCTCGAAAAAGGACAAGAAAGAAAGGCGGCAGGACTTACTTGCTTGGCTAGATTTAACGACGGAGGAAGACAAAGTGCTGATCGCTTGGGGGCTCATACCACATAGCCTGGAATGGCAAAATGCCTATAGAGAGAAAAAGAATATACACCGTAGGAGACTTGGGATGATAGCATTGGAATCCACCCATTGATGGGAGGTGAAGGTTGATGTCTCGGAGAATCAGATAATTAATTCGGGGGTCAACATCCTTTACCGCCCTTCTCTTCGCTTGACTATCAAAGACTGTTATATGTAACTTTGGATGAAGTTGTTCACCAACAGAATACTCAATACTCGTCTATAACTTATTAGCATCATTCTATGCCCTACATTGTGATAAACCTCAAGCCATTTGCTTGATCTACCAAAATCCCTCAATATGGTCTCGAACCCAGATGCCGACCTTGCTATATGCAACCACCTCATTGTTGTTTGCTGTCATGCTATTTACACCGGGGGTTCACATCTTGGAACCTCAGAAGACGAGTGGTTAGTGGGCCGGAATAAGCTCTTTATAAGGAAGACAGCAGCTGATGTACCGAACAGGCTGATTGAGCCCTTCCAAAAGGGGGAAACACCCACATTCATCGATCATGTCAAAGCTGGATTGAAAGCTCTAGCAGAAGACCCTCATGGCCTGCTTGTGTTCTCTGGGTAAGAGGCTTTCATCGCATCCTTTTCAATTTCTTCTCGCTGATCCATCGCATAGAGGGCCTACCAAAAATCCTAGAACTGAGCTCAGTGAAGGTCAATCTTACCTTGTAAGGCGCCCGAATTCCTCAAACCCCATCACCCAGGAAGCTCATGTATAGAAACATCCAGAATCTGGCGAGAGACAACGACTTCTTCCAAGACTTCACTACCTCTTCAATTGACCCATCAAGAGTCATCGCAGAAACCAACGCTACAGATTCATATCAGAACTTATTATTCTCTCTGATACAGTTCCGAGTTTACACAGGCGTTTATGCACAGAGAGTCACAGTTGTGACGCACGAGTTTAAACGCGCTCGATTCATACAGTGCCACTTTCCAGCCGTCGGACTCGGTCCAGTTGGCCCAGAACAAGAAGATTATGGGCATAAAGTTGCTGTAATAGGTATCAATCCACCAGATGAAATCACCCCACCAGAGACCTTGACTCGAGGCGAGGCTATGAATGGGATTGGGCTTTGGAGAGAAGATCTTTACGGAGTGAACTCGGATCTGGTAGGCAAGAGGGTAAAACGAGGCTGGTCCCCTGGAATGGAAAACGATATATTCTCCCATCTGGGACTGGAAGATGTGGTGTTGCATCTAATCCGCTATGATGGGGATAACCATCGAAATAAGTGGTTCCCGAAGCGAGAGAGCTTGCCTTGGTCTTATACTAGACATGATACAACCAACAGGCCTTGATTTTGATTGAGAACAAATATCAAGACTGATAAGTGGAAGAAGTCCTTGATCCTTCCCCGAAACGCCAATCCATAGTATCCTTCGTATTTGATCATAATGTGCCACCAAGAGCTCAATCCGCTAGCCGGTAGCTGACCAGAGTCCCAACTCGGTGATTGTTTGTGCTGAAGCTCCTCAGCTGGACCTTCTCTGCGTTCTTAATTTCCTTGGCATCACTATCGCCCCATTCCACGGGCACATCTGAATCGGCGTCGGCGTAGACAAGTACGTTGAAGGTGCAGTCGCCATCAAGGACGGGGAGGAAGGTGACAGAGGCGGTGATTTGGCGGAAGATGGCTTGGATCTCCTCCTGGATTTGCTTTTCTGTTTTTTCGATAGGTTCGGCGGGTTTTGCATCTCTTCAAGACACAAGGACGTTGGGTTAGTGGGGTGACCAAAATAAGCACACAGTGGACATACTTACCCCGATGTACTATTCTCTTTGTCGCCGGCTTTCTGTGAGCTCTTGCTCTTGGATTGCTTGCCAAAGATTTCGACCTATCCCATCACGTTATAGTTAGCCACGGACTCGGATGGGAGAGTGTCGAATGCATACGTCGAATTGCCATCTCTCCACATGTTCACCGGTCTCCTTGCTCGTGATAACTACCACAAGCTTTGAGATCTTTCCTCCTTGCATCCATTCCTTCAACTGGGACATGATCTTCTTGATGTAGGCTTTGACCTGGTCGTCGGCCGAAACTGCTATGAGGTTAGGGTTGTCGACATCAATTAAGAACACGGTTCACGAACCCAGCATATTGAGGCCATATTTTTTAATCCTATTTCCAATTAGCTTGATGCACTGTAGTAGGCAAAATTGAGAGGGCATACTTACGTTGTGAAATCCTCGGGAGGATAGACACCTCGTTGGAAGCTGAACACCCAATACGATCAGCCAGTGTCTTGGACTGTGTACGATTAGCAACTTACAGGATTGAATTAATCGAGTATTCAAACTGAGACTGTTAGTACTCGAACTCCATTGACGCAACCACACGGGCAACTCACGAATTCGGAGACAAGCTTGGCCGATCCTGTTATCTTGTAAGCTATGTACAACCACGAGAACTACATAAGTAGACGATGGGCGCAAACCTTTGATCGACAGCTTGTGCACCTTTGACTTCTCCTTGGTTTCCGGCATGATGAGCTTGTAGATGAGGAGTTTGAAGGTGAGAGAAAAGTAGAGCTTTGTTTATGTCGAGTGGTCACCGCAGCAATAAACAGTCACCGCCCGCGCGTCCGTTTTTTTCTCCGCAAATCGTGACGAAGACCAGCCAGCACTGAAGCGCTAATCGATTTCCCCACGGATACACTTCGATTCGACGCTTGCTTACCATCAGCCCCTCCTATGCCACCGCAGAAGTCCCAATGCGAGGATGTCTGCAGTTAGGCCGATGGCTGAGCGTAGCGCCGAGATGCCAGGCCGCGAGCCTCCGACCAACTATCTTTTCTGCGTATAATTATAAAAGAAGTTTCTCTACTACTACGATCTACTATGGACGGCCGAAAACGACACACATAAAACTGGACGTCAACCTTGAGAAGAGAATCGCCGCAATCCCAATCGAACGTTTTCGCAATTTCTGCATCGTTGCACACGTTGATCACGGCAAGAGCACACTTTCCGACCGTTTACTCGAATTGACCGGTACGATTGAAGCGGGCACGAACAAGCAAGTTCTAGACAAACTTGATGTCGAGCGAGAGCGAGGAATTACGGTCAAAGCACAGACATGTACTATGATCTACAACCATAAAGGGGAGGATTATTTGCTACATTTGGTAGATACACCTGGTCATGTGGACTTCCGTGCTGAGGTGTCGCGAAGTTATGCCAGTTGCGGTGGAGCGATCCTCTTGGTTGACGCCAGTCAGGGTGTTCAGGCGCAGACAGTCGCCAATTTCTACTTGGCCTTTGCGCAAGGCCTCGAGTTGATTCCGATTCTCAACAAGGTCGATCTACCCTCATCGGATCCAGAGCGGGCTCTGGAGCAGATACGAAACACATTCGAGATTGATACGGAAAATGCGGTGATGGTTTCGGCAAAGACTGGATTGAATGTTCCGGCTGTGCTACCGACCGTGGTGGAGAAGATCCCTGCGTATGTTTAACCAGTGGCTTCCCAAAATGCTGTTTTTATGCTGACTGTATACTAGACCTATCGGCGATTCTAAGAAACCGCTTCGTATGCTCCTTGTGGATTCCTGGTACGACTCCTACAAGGGCGTGATCTTGTTGGTTCGTGTTTTCGACGGTGAGGTGCGTGCAGGTCAGCAGCTTATATCTTTCGTTACCGGTCTCAAATATTTTGTTGGTGAAGTTGGCATCATGTATCCGACCGAGACCGCGCAAACCGTTCTCCGTGCAGGTCAGGTTGGGTACATCTACTTCAACCCAGGTATGAAGCGGAGTAAGGAGGCTAAGATTGGCGACACCTTCACAAGAGTCGGTTATGAAAAAATCGTCGAGCCTTTACCTGGATTCGAAGAGCCCAAATCGATGGTCTTTGTGGCTGTATACCCAGTGAATGCGGATCTCTTCGAGCACCTGGAGGACAGTATCAACCAGCTGGTCTTGAACGATCGAAGCATCACAGTACAGAAAGAGTCCTCCGAGGCCTTAGGTGCCGGTTTCCGTATGGGCTTCTTGGGAACCCTTCACTGCTCCGTGTTTGAAGACCGTCTACGACAGGAGCATGGAGCCAGTATCATCATCACACCACCCTCCGTACCAGTCAAGGTCGTGTGGAAAGGTGGTGCCGAAGAGATTATCACCAATCCCGCCAAATTTCCCGATGATGATAGCGTACGACTCAAAGTTGCCGAGGTCCAAGAGCCATATGTTTTGGTCACTTTGACATTCCCAGACGAGTACTTGGGAAAGGTGATTGAGCTCTGTGAGGCCAACCGCGGTGAACAACAAAGCATTGAATACTTCACAACGACTCAGGTCATTATGAAGTATCAGCTTCCCCTGGCCCATTTGGTTGATGATTTCTTTGGAAAATTGAAAGGAGGTACCAAAGGCTATGCCAGCCTGGACTACGAAGAATCTGCATGGCGAGCCGGCAACATTGTCAGGCTACAACTCTTGGTCAACAGGGAGCCAGTGGACGCTGTAACGCGGATTATGCATTCGAGCCAGGTGAGCCGACAAGGCAGAATTTGGGTAACCAAATTCAAGGAGCATGTTGACCGGCAGCTTTTCGAGATCATCATCCAAGCTGCCGTTGGCAAGAAAATCATTGCTCGTGAGACTATCAAGCCTTACCGAAAAGACGTGCTGGCAAAATTGCATGCTAGTGATGTAAGTCGGCGACGAAAGCTGCTCGAGAAACAGAAAGAAGGCCGCAAGAGGTTGCGAGCAGTTGGAAATGTGGTGATTGAGCACAAAGCTTTCCAGGCATTCTTGGCGAAATAAACATGTAAATTAGCAACCAAATACACTGTATAACATTCTTTCTGAGATATCGAAGTTTATACATAGAAAGAGATCTAGAAAGAAAACTAAACAGTCGACCAAAAAGACATGCAAAGGTCGCATAAGTGGCTGACTAGACATTTCTATAAGCTGTAGGATACCTGTGTCGGCGGTGAGAGCTTTACAGGCAGAAAAAAGTTCATGTCGAACCCCGCCATACAACTTCTTCCTCTGCTCATTCTCAGTTCACTTCATTGTGCTGAAACACCCTCGCTCAAGATTTGTGGCCGCTGATTCTAAATCCACTAACACAATACCGGAGTTAATTCTTCTTCGAGCCTGAGGTATTGTTCCTAGCGGCTGAAGTCCGCCTATGCCGATCGCATCACCTTGAGTCACCCTGCCATGCTCCGCATTTGACGACGGCCATGCAGCCTCCAGAGGGTGCACAGGTAGACCTGGGCAAGTCCCAGGTCATTGACAGTGTTCCTAAAGTGATCAAAGAACTGAAGTTTGGTGTCTTGTATGCAGTTCACTCACATGTGCTTGTCACAAGCGTTTGTCGCAGACTTGATCGCTAATGAAGATTTATGTTTCCAGAACCAACGATGACATTGTCGGCCAAGCAGTGGTCGAAGTTTCTGACCGAAAATTTTTCGACTTGGACCAAACGCGAACGGTCGTTGCGAATGGACCTCTCGACCAGCGCATGGGTATCTCGAACAAGACTGATTCTTGCGCCACATGTGGAAACAACCTGAAAGACTGCAATGGTCATTTCGGCCATGTGAGACTGGTCCTACCATCCTTCCACGTCGGTTATTTCAAGCGCGTCATTTCGATCCTTCAGGAAATTTGCAAAGAATGTTCGAACATTCTGCTCCCAGAGGCGGAGCGCCGAACCTATCTTCGCGATATGCGCCGACCGGGCCTTGATAACCTCCGCCGGACCCAGATCGCAAAGCGCATCAACGAACGGTGTCGGAAAACCCGTCAATGTACATACTGCGGAGCGGTCAATGGTGTCGTGAAGAAGACCGGAACAAGTGCGCTGAAGATTACCCATGACAAATTCCGTGCATTCAATGTCTCGATTTCCGTCAAAAAGCAAACACCGATCAGCAAGGATGTCTTTGATAACTCTTTCCTTGAGGCAAGAGGCGCAAACCCAGAGGTCGAAAAACACTTCAAAAAGGCGCAGGATGACATGAACCCTCTTCGTGTTCTTAAGCTATTCAAGAAAATGTCCGACTCAGACTGTGAATTGATTGGCATGAATCCAAAGGAGGCTCGCCCGGAGATGTTCCTCTGGCAATTCATTCCAGCTCCACCGGTTTGCATTCGACCTTCAGTGGGACAAGATGGTGCATCTACAGAAGATGACTTGACCGCCAAGCTCGGTGACATTGTGCAGAGCAACATCAATCTTAAGAATGCCCTGCTTAAGGGCGCTCCAGTTCAGACAATCATGGAGTGCTGGGACTATATGCAACTTCAAATTGCTGTCTACATCAACAGCGATGTGCCTGGGCTTAACAAAGCTGATCTCGGAAAGCCAATCCGAGGCTTCGTCCAACGTTTGAAGGGAAAGCAAGGTCGTTTCCGTGGAAATCTGTCAGGAAAACGTGTTGATTTCTCTGGGCGAACTGTCATTTCACCCGACCCCAATTTGCGAGTTGATGAGGTCGCTGTTCCGGAGCTGGTGGCAAAGAACATGACTTATCCCGAACTAGTGACCAGATACAACAAGGAGAAACTACAGCAACGGATTTGCAATGGTAGCAACAAATGGCCCGGAGCGAACTTGATCGTCAAGAAAGGAACTGGATTCAGACAGATGTTGAAGTACAGTAACACCCAGCGTATGGCTGATGCGCTGCAAGAAGGCGATCTGGTTGAGCGTCATCTTGAAGACGGAGACATTGTGCTGTTCAATCGACAGCCCTCCCTCCACAAGCTCAGTATTCTATCCCATTTTGCCAAAATCCGACCCCATAGAACCTTCCGATTGAACGAATGTGTCTGCAACCCCTACAATGCCGATTTCGACGGAGATGAAATGAACCTCCACGTGCCGCAGACCGAAGAAGCCCGAGCAGAAGCGATGGAACTCATGGGCGTGAAGAACAATTTGGCCACGCCCAAAAACGGAGAGCCCATCATTTCTGCCATCCAAGATTTCATCAGTGCCGCCTACTTGTTGAGCAGCAAAGACAACTTCTATGATCGTGCCTCCTTCACACAGATCTGTCTCTATATGCTTGGCCCTGAAACGAGATTCGATCTCCCACCACCATCAGTCTTGAAGCCCCAGATGATGTGGACTGGCAAACAAGTCTTTAACATTCTTATGCGCCCCAACACATCCGACCCTGTTATGGTTAACTTGGACGCCGCCTGTCGTGAGTTCAAGATGCCCAAGGATGGTCGTCCAAAGGACTTGGACCCCAATGATGGCTGGCTAGTCATCCGCAACTCGGAGGTCATGTGTGGTGTGATGGACAAGTCTACAATTGGTTCTGGAAAGAAAGACAATGTTTTCTACATTATGCTCAGAGATTTCGGCCCACCGGCAGCAGCTGAGGGCATGAACCGTTTGTCAAAACTGTCCGCCCGATGGTTCACCAACATCGGATTTTCAATTGGTATCGGAGATGTCTACCCTAGTGCAGGGCTCGTTCAGTCCAAAGATGATCTTGTTGAGGCAGCGTACTCGGCGTGTGACGCCGTCATTGCTAAGTACAAGGCGGGCACTCTGGAGAAGTATCCTGGATGTGACGAATTACAAACCATGGAGAACCAGATCTCCGGTATTCTCAGTAAAGTCCGTCAGCAAGCTGGTGACGAGTGTATTATGCAGCTGAGCAAGTACAACTCGCCCCTGATAATGGCCACTTCCGGATCCAAGGGTTCTAGCATCAACGTGTCCCAGATGGTTGCCCTTGTCGGTCAACAAATTATCGCTGGTCAACGTGTACAGGATGGTTTCCAGGATCGTACCCTACCGCATTTCCCGAAGAATGCACGACAGCCTCCGTCGAAGGGTTTCGTTCGCAACAGTTTCTTCTCCGGACTGGAGCCCCCGGAGTTCATTTTCCACGCTATGTCCGGTCGTGAAGGTCTGGTCGATACAGCTGTCAAGACCGCTGAGACTGGTTACATGTCTCGTCGCCTGATGAAATCTCTTGAAGATTTGTCATCGATGTATGATGACACGGTGCGTAACTCGTCTGCTGCCATCGTTCAGTTCCAGTATGGTGACGATAAATTGGATCCTGTGGATATGGAGGGTAAAGCCAAACCCGTCCACTTCGATCGAACATTCATTCACTCGGAATCTACTACGTACAACAATGACGAGCGAAGTTTGTTGCCGATGGAAATTATGGAAGTCTGCGAACAGATGCTTTCAAAGGAACGTGCGAAGCTAAACCGCAAGGACTTGCTCGGCAATGACCTGGCATACATGGACCGCAGCGATCACGGTATCGATCAGTTCGAAAGTGCCCGTGACTTCCTTGACTCAATTCAGGAATACGTGGAAAAGAGAGCCGACAAATTGATCTCTCGAGGTGGCGATATTGAGCCGTCCGACCAGCGGAGCCGTAAGGGATTGGATCATACAGGCAAGCTGACAGAAACCACACTGAGGGCTTTCATCACTGCTTGTTTGTTGAAATACAAGAGAGCCCAGGTCGAGCCCGGCCACGCTGTGGGTGCCGTTGGTGCCCAGTCCATTGGTGAACCCGGAACGCAAATGACCCTGAAAACTTTCCATTTCGCCGGTGTCGCCGGAATGAGTATCACGCAGGGTGTACCTCGTATCAAGGAAATTATCAACGCCTCAAAAGAGATCAGTACTCCCGTTGTGGCTTGCGAACTGGTCAATAAAGAAAGCACTATCGCTGCTCGTATTGTGAAAGGACGCATTGAAAAGACCTTCCTCAGCGACGTCGTCCACTCCATCACGGAGGTTTGGTCCCCCGATGATGCTTACTTGAAGGTTGTTCTGAACTGGAAGACTATCGAAGACTTGGCGCTGGAGATCACGACGCCGCAGATCGTTGAAGCGATCAAGACCAACAAACGGTTCAAGGGCGGTGACCTCAAATTCTCTTGCAAGCAAGCCTCAATCAAGGTCCACATGGATCTTGATCCCGCCAGCAAGTTGGGTCTTTCTAAGACGGAAATTGCCGCCACCAGCGCTGATCCTTTCCTCCGCTTGAAGCATTTGAAGCGTATCCTTCCTAACATCCAAATCCTGGGTCACCCACGTGCCACCCGTGCTATTATTCGGACGGACGAGACATCGACCACGAACACCTTGCTCGTGGAAGGCTACGGATTGAGGGAGTGTATGACTACGATGGGTGTGGACGGTCTCCGCACCCGGACCAACAACATTATGGAGGCGCGAGACGTTCTAGGTATTGAGGCTGCTCGAAGCACGGTCGTTGTCGAAATCAGTGAAGTCATGAAGGACATGGACATCGATCCTCGTCACATGCAGCTTCTGGCCGACGTGATGACTTACAAGGGTGAAGTGCTCGGTATTACACGTTTTGGTCTAGCTAAGATGCGTGACTCGGTGCTTCAGCTTGCTTCGTTCGAGAAGACTGCGGATCATCTTTTCGATGCCGGTGGTCTCGGTCGCACCGATCTCATTGAGGGTGTATCGGAATGTATTATCATGGGCAAGACGGTGTCACTGGGTACCGGTGCTATGGAGGTTGTGCGTAAGCTCAACTTCTACCAAGGCCAGATTGGCCCACGAAAGACTGTCTTTGAAGATGCTTGGACTGAACATTGTGAGGCACCTCTGGCAAGAAGACCCAAGAGGAAGGTCCGATGAAGGTCAGATGAAGTGACTGTGACTCTGTGACTGACTTTGTGACACTGTGCATTAATTTCGGCGTTAAGAATTTGGCCTTGTGGACAAGGCTTGTACATGTACTTACCTGAGCGGGTGAATTTCATTGACGTTATGATCAAATAGGTTT